AAAACATAATAGCAAATTACATCTTTTTAATGTGGAAACCTTACAGAAACGCAGAAAGTATAATGATGCAGTTTTTGTACATAAAATATTTAATTCTACATTTAATTGCCCAAGTTTAATGGAACTTTTTAAATTTCGTGTACCCTCGAGAGTACCCCGCAGTTCTATTGCACCACTTAGTTCACCATTAAGAAGAATTGTATGGGGAAGGAATTCTCCATATGCCAGATTCTGTAAAGAATGGATACAGCGATCAAATTGACATTCACTTTGACTCACCCAGAATATTCTCTAAGTGTCTCCGTAAATGTATATGTTAATAGCGTAAAGTAAAGTAGATTTTTTTTAATTTTTTATTATTTTCATTTTTATTTTCTATTTTTGAGTTTATATAGCACTATTCTTACTAATAGATATATTTTTAATTTTAGTTGAGTAATAACTTATTGTTTTTTCAGTTAGTGTTTTTATAAAGTTATATGCATGCGGAGTTTACCTTTAAGTAATTGTAGCACTTTTGTTAATACTTTTAAGTAATTGTACAAATTTGATGTGTTAGTGTTAGCAATTGTTGGTAAACCTAATAAATAGAAAAAAAACTAAATATCTGGACCTGGCTCACGAGGTGGCTGACATGTGGGGTGGTCTGCCAACTGAACAAAGAAATAATTCCTTTGGTTGTTTCTGGTCTCCCCTGCCTAGGGCTTCCATCTGGTTGGACTTTTATTTATTTATGTTAAAGTTAACAAAAAATTACTTTGCGTACATCCGCTCGATAAAATAAAATGATGTGTCCTACCTAGTTTGAAGAGCACCTCCCGCCCTCCCTCAATTGCGTGCACTATCCCCGTCACCACTAATCCCAGCACCACTACTCCCAACATCACGTCGTTCTGACCACGTCATATTTGTAAAAAAAAAATATTAATTTCTTTGCGCCGGTCTTTTGAAATATATGTGCTACATTTTTTTTGGAGGATTCAATACAGCCCTTTTTTAATTGGTACTTTTACGTTCTCTTTTTCAATATTTTAATTTGTTTTCTGGTTTTTAACGACATCTCATATCTCTTTCTCTTTCTTATAGTTCCTTTTTTAGTATATAATAAATCATTTTCTTCCTGCTCTGGCGAGTCTGGGATTATTACATTTTGACTATTATCAATAAATTCTTCCTGAGAATCTGTATCGGAATTCGGTTTCTTTTGTAATCGGTAGGCGGTATATAATCTTTGTCTTTGACAGAATCGTCAGAGTCAAAAATATATTGATCTGAAACTATTGGGAATAATTCAGGAGATTCCTCCTCACAATAATAATTAAGCTCAGATGTCTTTAATTCTCTACTAATCTTTTTATGCGATAATAAATTTTCTTCATTTTCGATAGTTTTTTCAGCTGTTGGAAATTTAATTAAATCATCTTGAACAATGTTACTGGTCGGTAAAAGCAACTCTGAATCTCTGACATTTTCGTTCTGCATCTGACTCAACAGTATCAATTCATCATCTGATTTTTCTACTTCAGTTTCCGCTGAATTTAGCGGATTTGAATCTGTACCATGTATTACATTAGTTGCCATATTTAATAGTTTTAAAGATCTCCCTTTCTTCATTTTAGAAATCTGAAAATAAAATAAATGTGGAATAATAAAAAATGGTTGATAGTTTTTTTTTGTAAAAGGTCACAGACAGACAAAAATTCTTAAAACTATAGATTAAACCTATGTATCGATAATAATGATTATTTCAATAGGATTTTCCAAAAAAATATTTAATGTACAGATTCGACTCAGTTTCAATTTATATGCATAGATAATTTTTATAATATAAACGAATAAATGGAGACTACAAAATATGTTCAATACGTTTAACATTCTTACATTCTTTCGCATCGAAACGTGACGTGACCAAACTCTCGAACGACTTGGGCGCAACTGACGAAACATTCCTGCACTTCCCCCCTCTAACCGCCACGATGTACCCGAATACTTAATAGAAAAGTCGCAAGTGGCCACTTGTGTCTTTTTAACTTAGAAGTTAAATAAATAATATAATCTCAAGCCTATAAAAAAAGTCGGAATATCATTTACGTCTTTTCAATTACAAAGTAATTTAATCATTGATGCTATTTTAAAAAACGCAACGTCATTTGCGCCTAACCTATTATGTTAATCATTGTGAGTACTAAGATGATTGGACGTAAGAAACCAAAAGTGTCTTTTTATTTTAAAACTATTAACTTATGTCTTTTCATTTAAGTAATCGATGCAAATATTGTTAAAGATGACGGAGCAACTGGTTAAAAAAGTCTTTTCTTTTATGTTGAATTTGAATACGTCTTTTCTACTTAAAAAATGTCATTTTTGATCAGCAGTTACGACCAAAACTCTTACGGTATTTTCTAAAATAATGATATTTTAAAAAATTAAAAAAATTGAGTAGATGCGCCGTTTTATCCTGAGTCGAATGGTATATTTAACTAATTTTGTCAACAATTGTTATATGCGCCCTTTTTTCTTATGACGGCAGTACTAAAAGCACATGAGTAAAGAAACCGACCAGAGGGGAAGCTACATACAAACGGCTCGCTACGAACACACCCATACATAGCACAAAGATGTGTGCGTGAGCTCTCACCGACAGGTTCACCGACGCTCCGTCGGGGTACAAACCGGTTTGCGCCGGCTCAGTATGAGTATCCATGGAAGGGCTGTTTGTTAGTCTTGCGCATTTAAATAAATAGACTCACAATATTTCGATATTTTATACATCAATTAATTTATTAAGTTTTTTTGCAATTATTAAATAATTAGATTTAAGTATTTTAATTAAAATAATTAAGAATTAAGTTATTATAAATTTATATGGGTAAATAATAAGTGTTCTGTATAAGCAAAAAATGCCTAATAGTTGTACGGTATGTATGAATAATTCTAGAGAAAATAAGGATATTTCCTTTTTTTTGTACCCGAGAAAATAAGTGAAGTAAGTACCGTTTTACTTATTAAGTGGCGAAGCTTGCGAAGTCACTTATTGATTTCACGATGTCTGTCCGTCTGTCCCACGATTATCTCGAGAACGGTTTTGAATTTTCAAATTCTGTTTTCAGCAATCGATTACTGATCACCCAGGCATCTGAACGTCCTATTTTGAAACTGATTGCTCAACGGCAACCGTTAGAAACCGCTACAAAGCTGATTGCTTCGCCACTTTGCTATGCTGTAAGCTTGCTAGGTTTATTATTATTAATAAACCTAGCAAGCTAACAGCATATCAAAGTGTTTCTAACGGTTGCCGTTGAGCAATCAGTTTCAAAATAGGAGGTTCAGATGCCTGGGTGATCAGTAATCGATTGCTGAAAACAGAATTTGCCACTTAATAATATACAATAAAACTAGGTAATAACATTAATAAGTAAGTGAGAATGTGTTAGACAGGTACGTCACCGAGTGATGAAGTCGGTCTCACCTACTTGAAACGTTAGTCAGTCTAACCTTGACAGTGCCGTAGATGGCAGGATATCCTACCCACCCACTTTAGAGGTAGGTTGCTTCCTTGTGAAGCATATAAGCTACTTTTTGTGAGTCGCGACCCCAGGAGTAAATACCACTTCATTATGATTGGAATACATTGGTGGGGGTGGTGGGATTGGTGTTGGTGGAAGTGGTGCTGGTGTTGGTCGATAGTTTTGCTGATGGTGTCAGTGGTGGTGGAGGTGGTAGTATCGTAGGTAGGTGTAGTAGACAGTGGACCAGCAATGGCTCCATCAACACCACCACCATCACCACCATTACTATAACCACCACCACCACCACCGCCACTGCCCACGACCACCATCACAACCATTACTACCCCCACCACAACTTACACCAACACTCTTGATTTCGAACAATTAATAGATATGTTGTTACATTAATATAAGTTATAATTAATACATATTATGTTGTCTTATGCTATACAATATTTTTATTTTATCCTTAAATTTTTCACATGCATCATGTGACAACCCTATCAGAATAGGTATACATTTTCGACGTTGTTAAGAAGCTTCCCCTCTGGTCCTTACTCTTTACTCTGTGCTAAAAGTAAGTAGTATGATTTTTTTATCATGGGTGACATTTTCATGGTTTTCGAGGGTGTTGAAACCGAAAGGGTTGTCGAAATGTAAATCCAAAATGGCGGCTGCAATAGATATCAATTTTTTCATCATGGGTGTCATTCTCATGGTTTTCGAGGGTGCTGATGCCGATAGTGCTGTTGAAATGTAAATCCAAGGTGACGGCTCCAATAGATATCAAGTTTTTCATCTTGGGTGTCATTTTCATGGTTTTCGAGGCTGTTGAATCCGATAGTGCTGTCGAAATGTAAATCCAAGATGGCGGCTGAAGTAGGTACCAATTTTTTCATCTTGGGTGTCATTTTCATGGTTTTCGAGGGTGTTGAAGCCGATAGTGCTGTCGAAATGTAAATCCAAGGTGACGGCTCCAATAGATATCAAGTTTTTCATCTTGGGTGTCATTTTCATGGTTTTCGAGGGTGTTGAATCCGATAGTGCTGTCGAAATGTAAATCCAAGATGGCGGCTGCAATAGGTATCAAGTTTTTCATCATGGGTGTCATTTTCATGGATTTCGAGGGTGTTGAAGCCGATAGTGCTGTCGAAATGTATTTAAACTACTTTAAAAATTCCGTATAATCATGTTATACGTAATTTTTTTAATGCGCTTAAGGTATGCCCAATTGGATTTACCAATATATTTTTATTTATCCTCTTATATATTTATTCAGCCCAATCAGATGAGAATACTTTATAAATACCCCAATAATAATAATAATAATAATGTCTTACACGTACATAATACTTTCTATAATTATAACTTCTGTTTCTTTTCGTACAATTTTTCTGGCAATTTTCGTAATTGTCTCTTATAGAATACACCTTAAATTGTGGTAGAATCAATTTAGTTTTTTTAAGATACTTGTACTATTTTTTTTAACAGTTCCCGATGACTCTGACAGCGATGCTGACACAGAAAAAGACGTTCTTCTAGTTAAAAGGTAAATTAAAATATCTGTCTATATATATATATAGATATACGTAGAACCGTTTCAGATCTCGCGATAGAATAAAACACAATTGTACATTGAAACAGTTATGTTCGCCCGGGCGTTGTAAATTAAACTATATTGATAAAATATGTCTATAACATCTACCTACATTCTAAGCAAATAAATAATTATGAATTATGAATAATCTAAACCGTATAGTGTAAGAATTATCACTTCCCCATATTCCAGTTTAGACTGCTTTCAATTGTTTCACTGCAGTGTTACTGGGGCATAGGTTATTTGATTGCTATGTGATGGCATTATAAGAGAACTATCTCCATTGAAATATAAAAAAAAAACATGAGAACTGGCAAGGGGCGTGTCTGTGTAAGCGCGTTATGGTCTAAATGCTCAAGTTTGATGCAAATGGCCGTCTCCGCGAAGTAGTGCGCTCTCGACCGTCACGTCATCGTGAAGTATTATCAGAATGCCGTGTTGTTCAGTGGTTTCTTCTATAAACCGAAGCCTAAACAAAAACTTTTTAAATCATGAAATCACTTACCGTGTTATGTATTTTACTATATTTATCTTTAAAATTATTTCATTATAAACAATAAATCGTAAAATCTCGTCTGAATCGTTCTGATTTATAAAAAACGGGTGTGTGCGCGATTATTTATTGGTTTTACTGATATGCATGTGTAGTTGGCGCGTGGTAGGGGCAAACTGGAGACATCGGGTTCCGATACATTATCAACTACCGGGCATATCTCCTTCTTTTTAGAGTTTTTCTATCTATGACTCATCATATTTCGTCCCATGGGTATCGTAAGAGGCAACTATCGAAAATGCTAGGAAGACATTACGACACATGGCGTTATCACTCCATTTCTGCCACATGCGGGAACTCTGTTACTGACAACGCTAATTTACTTGCCAAGTATGGCAATTAAGGCTACTCCCCTACTACTGGAGAGGCGTATGTCCAACTATACTCCATTTTTATATATGTCAGCTATCTATCTATCTTAAAACGTTTTACAAGAAGGCAGACTGATCCAAGGAGTTAATCATCCCATAGACCCAATTTTAATGCCTCTGAAGAGTCCCTTCTAAATATTACTATACTCTTTGGCGCGGTCTACAAATTTGTCACAGGGAAGACCGATGTGGACCAGCAGGACTTGACAGATCAAGCATCGCTTTGATTGTCATATTTTTATTCGTAAGAGTAAGTCGTTAGTGTACAGTAATTTTACAAAGAGGGCTGCTTGAACATATTTCTGTTTTTAAACAGGGAAAGAAAGTCATCACTCGCAACAATTTGGAAACCAGATTTGGACATATGGGGACCTGATTCAAGTGGAATGTATGGCCTTAAATCAGAATATTTAGAATCGTTGGGAATTACGCCACCTATTGATAAATGGGTTCATGTTTCTAATGTAAGTAGTAAGATCTATTTATAACTGACTTCAAAAAAGGAGGAGTTACTCAATTCGACTGTATTTTTATTTTTTTTTATGTGTTACCTCAGAACTTTATTTGAAAGCTGGTGCTTCTCATGTGGTCCCATATAAATTTGATCAAGGTCTGACCAGTAGTTTTAGAGTTATACTTAATAATTTATATTGAAATTGGTCTCTAAACAGCTTGGTGTGCTCAACAGAGCGGGACAGTATTTCATGCCGGCACACCGCCTGCAACTTTACAAGGCACAGGTTCAGCCTCACATGGAATACTGTTCCCATCTTTGAGCTCCCCAGTGCCAGCTCCTCTATATATATAAAAATCCTCTATCATACGAAGAAAGAAAATGAATAACTACTTCTAGTTTGAAGTTGGTTGTACAAAATTTTTAAAATTACCACTTGTTCATAGCGTAATTTAGAGTTATTGCACCATCAGAGAAGGAAAACAAACGAGTTTTTAGGGTTCCATTGTCATATACAAGGAACCCTTTTAATTTTGTTATCTTTGTTTAATGTGTTCCATTTGCGTAGGATAGGATTACAGTGTCCGAGTGTATGCGTAAGCACAGGTGCACTCTCAACTGTCTCATTCTCATGGTGAAATTGGACGCCAATCCAACACGATCGGAGAGAGATGAGGCGCAGGGCCAACGGTTACACTTTCCTACCGAGGCACGGGCGTGAGACACCGCCAACTTCCTGACTCTGGGCTGCTACTGAGAATTTCTTAACAGAAAAATAACGGATTTCGGTCTGATCCCGGATTCGAACCCGGGACAACATGATGAGTTGAGCAGAACGCTTATGACCGCTAGAGGGAGACTAGACTAGAGACGGTCGAAAAATGATGACTTATTGTAATATTATATTTATTCTCTACAGTTCAGATGTGATAAATCAGAGCTTAAAGAGGTCCTCGAGCTTGCTGGCCATGTAGTTATCTGTACTGTAATATCAGTCAGTAATAAGTACGCAAAAGTTATGTATAATCATCCACTGGAAGCAGTTCAGGTATGTTTATATGTCGCTTGATAATTATCGAAGTGATAAAACTATGTTTACGGATTTGATCGCGTATAATTTACTTATTTAATTTTTTTTATAGAATAAGGGTGACAAACTAGCACACAGTCCACCTAATGGTGAGTGGTTGCTGTGGCCCATAGACATCTACATCTATCTTCGTTTGCGAATTAAAAATGAATGAAGAATGCCTCTTTCCCAGTAATGGGTCTCCGGGTCTCTACACTCACCATACGAAACATTGGGGTCTGAGATGCTTGACGTCCTGATGTCATAGTTAGCTCGAATACCTTCAGTTTTTGAATATATTTACAATAATTTTAGGTTCGATCTGCGGAGATTGAGCTTATAGTATCTTGAAGTCTTGCAGTGTTATGCTTGGGTTTGGATTTAATTTTGTTAATTATAGGATCCCAAGCAAATCGCGTATTATCCTTGGTAGGAATTGGTGTTCTTTTGCGAGGATTTGTGGTGTATCAAATCTGATGTAATGGCGGGGACGATCTTAAATATGTTCACAAACTATGGACTTCCCAGAGCTTCGGTGCCTCACGTCAGCTATATGTTCTTTCACGCGGGTTTTAATAGATCTTTTTGTTTGTCCTATGAAAGAGATACCACATTCGCAATCAAGCTTGTTCACTCCTGCATCTTGTAGGGGGATATTATATTTGATGGATGGTAAAAACTGACTAATCTTCTTCGGCGGCTTGAAGTATGTTTTAATGGAAGCTCGCTTCAAGATGTACGCCAACCTTGTCTGTGACTCCTCTGACATAGGGTAGTACAGCAGGCACCCGCTCGACTGGCCAGCTTCATTCGATCACTGTGACGTAGGCGCGGTACCCGAAGCTTAAGCGCTAAAAATTAAAGGGGGCACCCCTACTAGAAACGTGTATTACGATGGTACGGAACCCTTCATGCGCGAGACCGACTCGCACTAGGACGTTTTTTTATAAAACGTTTTTTTTTCTTATACTTTGCATAATAATAATAATATAATTTTTTCGCCAAACATGGTACATTAAAGATGACAAATAGTTGTACATAGTCCACATGTTTATCACATCTGGCATGCAAAAATTATTTAACATAATAAATATTAAATAATCATTTTCATAAGTAAGCAACTCAATAAATTTATGTACATAATAAAATAAAATAAATTAAAATTACAATTGTCACGTTAATCATTATTATTTTATAAATAGACAAATCAAATTATTTATATAGAAAAAATATTAAAACGTCAAAGCAGTACTCAATCTGCAGAACATTTAATTAAATATAAAAGTTTAAAATATGGTCATGTCAAGTTTATATAACGAGATTTTATTTATTTAAAAAGTCTTTTACATAAATCACAAATCATAAATGCACTTTAATAATAGCCAGTCTTTCACAACCACACCCCCTCGTCCTGTTCTCACGGGGTGTATGCTGCCATAGTGGTCACGCTGGGCAAGATGGTTTGCATTCGCAGATTTTTTTTATAGTTTTGATTTCAATACCTCCTTTTAACATAATTAAACATCGCTACTCCTTTTGGTCTTTTCGTAACGTTACTTATACATATTACATTTTATCACAGTTATATTGCGTTTATATTATCGCCATCTCGACTAACATGAGAAACTCAGTCTTGTCGATACCACAATTTTTTCACACTAGACGCGGAGTTAGTACTGCACTATATTCTGTAAAAAAGATTAGAAATCTAAACAGTGTTGAAACAGCTAGACTAGTTTACTTTAGCTATTTTCATAGCATAATGTTGTATGGTATTTTGCTATGGGGACACGCGGCTGAAACTAAACTATAACTTAAAGCCTAAAGAGTCGCTGCGACAAAAAATTAAGGAAATTAATATATTAACTTTGGCCTCTCAATACATTTAATGTACGTACACAAAAAAATAAAACAGTTTTACAAAAATAAGTGATATTCATTCTGTAAATACCAGGAACAGACACAAGCTAGTAGTACCAGTTACTGACTCCACTGAATCAGTAATTCATTCTTGGGGCGATGTATACGCTATACAACAAAATCCCAGAAAATATACAAAATTTGACCTGCTCAAAGTTCAAAAACTTTATTAAACAAAGTTGGTATAAGGGTTATTATAATATTAAACAATTTATGCATGATAATGACCCCTGGGAATGAAGTGATCGCTACCAAGCTATCTCTAATTTGTTTTTTATTGTTAATTGTGTAACATACGTTGTGAGCTGTTAGTTTTTTTAAAGTTCCGCTGGGTTTAGTCCTAGTTCTTCCCACGAGTTTTTTTTTCGAACCAGTGGCAATTAAACAAAAGAGTGACTTTCAATAAGTATTATTTATAATCTATAATGGTTATTTATAATATATATGGACTAAAAATTTTTGTTTTTTTTTTCATGTCTAGCAAAAAGATATTAAGCATTGCTTTAAAATGAAATGTCTTATGGTTTGACTGATTTCATACTTTTTAAAAACATCTTTTCTTACAGGCTGTCTCGATGCTAAATGGACAGATATTCTACGGACAAGTTCTTAAAGTATCAATGTACAAGTGTCCAAACAATGAGATGATACTTCCTAAAGGCCTCATGAATGTTGGTCCTGGTCTGGGTGAGCAGGGGAAACCGTTAAGAGATATTGTTAAACAGTACGAAAGGCATCTCAATGGGAAATCATCATCTGTTAATCAATCGATTTTCATAGACACTAGAGATAATACAACAAATAAAACTTCTACACCCAACAGTGAAAATAGAGACAGTATAATGACTATAAATACGGATTTAAATAGTAATTCTCTAGAAAAGGAAATTGATTCTAATAAATCACATGATACAAACAATGAAACTAATATTTCCCAGTTTGTACCAAGTGATCAAACTGGTGGAAATAAGGAAACCATTACCAGACCAGTAAATAATTGTACAAAACAATTTCAGCCACATTATCCAATGGTCTCAGCAGGTTCAAATTCAGCTTCAACGCACTCTGGTGGCGGTAACTGGGCTTCTGCAATAACTGTTACTCAGCCTTTTTCAAGCAACCCTATCACAAATCCACAAAGAAATACTGCATACATGTCCGGCCCCGCAGGACCAAGAAATGTTCATCCACAATTCAACGTCCCGGAACTCAACCCATCTCAGAAAAGTTCGATACCACGATTCTCTGGCCCTTCTGCTATGAATTTTCCGGTAAATAAACCCTTGACGAGGTTTTCTGGTCCCACACCACGACCCTCTTGTACTATTCCAAGGCCTAATGGTCCGCAATATAACAATCTTAATCCCATCCGAAATAGTGCTGTGTGTGCTCCATACCAGGGTGTAAGAGGTCCTGGACCCGGCCCTAATGTATGTCAAACTGGTTCCAATTCTTGGGGTAACTCTGGTCCGAGTTTAAATAATCCCGTATGCAGGCCTAGTATTTCGTCAAATGTTCCACCAACACAAATGCCCATTGCTGAAGCTAATCGACCCATATGTGCACCACAGCAACAATACAAGGGGACAACCTCTTCAACAGTGGAACTGAGCAATGTAAGTTCAGATATAAATAAACTCATTTAATCTGTATATTAATACGTGAAGGGAAAATCGTGTATCCTTTTTAATATGTTTAATATTGTGCGCATGAAGGAGTGAGATTTAGCATAGAGTGCAGAAATCTAAAATTTATATGTACATAATATGTGTTACAAACACGTTAAATAAAATTAAATAAAACATTTTTTACGTTCATACTGTCAATGTCTCGGAGTAAGTACAAACATATTTTTTTTTATAGAATAAGGGTGACAAACGAGCACACAGTCCACCTGATGGTAAGTGGTTGCTGCGGCCCATAGACATCTACACCTATCCTCTATTACAAATCAAAATGTAGATGCGTTGTCACCCGTGAGGACTAAGATGGAATGCCTCATTTCCAGTAAAAAGGGCCTCCGGCCACCTGCACTCACCAAGCGAAACGCAGAGGTAAACCTCTACTTCATGCTGGTATTCTGTGAGTTCGTGGTACTACCCCGGTTCGAGCCGGTCCATCCGTGCGACAGCAAAAGCTGCCGCGTGGCTCTACCACACTATTAAAAATTAATTCTTTCCGTTGTTGGGCTTTTTCTTCTTCAATTTGTTTGTTTTCTTACATTTTTCATGTAAGAAAACAAACAAATTGTATCAATCAATCATATCATCAATGTAAGGATGCGCACTCACGTACACTTCATTAACCGGTTCAGTGCGTGTGGCACGCCATCGATTACTTTTGTGTGTGGCGTATGACACGCGAGTCGTGTCTTTATATAAATCTCAAATTGCTTTTTTGGAAAATTTATCCAGAACAAAATATTCATTATTTTGCAAGTAGTTCATGCCTGCGGCTTCGTTTCTGAATATTTTGAAAATTTGAAATTTTTAGGGGTTGACAACCTTTTTTTAACTTGTACATGGTATTCTTTTTACTTTGTGGGTTTGCAATCATGTTGTGAAAATAGTCTAATAAGTAACAAATAATAGCACTCATGGCGATCGCTCACAAACTAGAGTTGTAAATAAATTTCTGGAAAACAAGTCTCCTGTTAAAAAAAAAAAACAATGCGTTTGTCTTATTGTTTAATTTTGCTTAAAATGGTTGAACTGCCGTCTTATTACTATCATATGAACGAATAGAGCTACGAAGTACCATGTGCTCTTGTGAAAATGTGGTATAAGGTTTATTTTTGCTTGAAACAGTTTGAAACCGTTCATGCATAAAAAAAGTTCGCTAATAAATAGTCTTGTCAATCCGCCGCCGTATAGCGGCGGCGTTCGTTTCCTTTTGAAAACACTTGTTTTGCTATTCTTACTAATTAGACGTTTTCAGATCGACTTTACTTTTATATTTGTATAACATTAAATAATATTTAACATTTGTAAATATCAATGAATCATAAACCTTGTTTTTTCCAAATTGAGGATCTTGATTGTTTTATATTTACAAATGTAATTATTAGGTGAAAATTTAATTTAATAAGGACCAAGGTTTTCCAGGGTGATTTAGCTGTACCTACTTATATAAATGATTTTATTATAAAACAAAAAAATAGTACAAAAGGTTTGTAATCTCTGCATAAAAAAAAGTCACTTACTCTCAGTTTCAAAGAAAACACATAGAAAAACACGTAGTTACCCACTAAAAACAAGTATCCTTCCGTTTGTAACTGATGTTTGATGTCAAATAAACTTAATTAGGTCTAAACAAGTAAAAAAAGCATAAAAAAGAACATTACTTTTACACATGGCTGATGGCACAATAGGCTTGTCACCAAAGTCTGGTGCTTGACACGCCAAGCGTGTCATGAAATATTTGTTCAATCAAAATATCAAAGGTATGTTGTTTCAAAAAAAGGTATGTTGTTGAATCGGTTAAAATAATTTACTACCAACAACAGCGCATGTGTTTTTTGTTTTACGTGGTAGATTTGTACGTTATTGTATATTTGTACATTGTACGTGGTAGAGCCATGCTGCAGCTATATTACTGGTATAGTTGTAGCACGAATGGGTCGGCTCGACCGGGGAGGGACCATGCTCTCGGAGAATACCAGCGTAAAGTAGCAGCTTAACGCTGCTGTGTTTCGTATGGTGAGCGTGGAGAACCGGAGACCCCTTTTTACTGGAAACGAGGCATTCCATCTTAGTCCTCGCGGGTAACAACGCATCTGCATTTTGATTCGTAATCGAAGATAGATGTAGATGTCTATGGGCTACAGCAACCACTTACCATCAAGGGGACTGTGTGCTCGTATGTCACCTTTATCCTATAAAAAAAATGTGTGCATCCTGCACTGACATTTTACGGACTGGAAAAGAAAGAAAGAAGATGATGTGTGCTTGAGTGCGTCTCAAGAAGTTGGTCATGGCTTCGGCTTCATTTGAAAAATACGCAGCGCTCCGTCTATCTTTCTTTGTTGGTCTGACTTAATGTAGGTACTGTAAACTGTAATGTGTAAACAACTACATGAAATGACCAATGTTTTTAGCTTCCCCTGTCAACAACTTTCCCCCTCCTGTCGGAAAAATTAGCGCAAGTGGGTCAAGTGCTATCACTAGAGCTGACGACTACAGGCTGCGCAGTGGTCCGCTTCGCAAGTCCCGCTCACGCTGAGAGATGTTACCGTATCCTTTATACGTTCTATTTATTTATTATCTTTATTATTGCACCTTAGTTTTTGATTTACGTTCACTCACATGAAGAACATTTTAAAAATGCTTATAGGTAATGAAGATGTATAGGAGACGACAAATCAAGATAGTTGCACGAGTATTGCATTGTGTATGAACTTTGTTTCACGTCCCTACGTATTCGTACATGACGTCTTATATATACGTATCTGGTTTACACTAGCCAGAGTTACAATGGTCAAACATTGTGTATTCAGTGCACTCGTTTTGTTTTAATTTCAAGGCAAATTAAACAGTATAGTTAAGGGCTTTGAAGGTTACCATTTTTTGTTCGTTCATCAGCCTATCAACAGTTTACTGCCGAAAATTTCTGAATTTTGCCATAGTTGCCGCGCTTGCCAGATGCTCTATGAATGAGATTCTCTTACTCACAGCGAAGTTATATTTTAGTTTTTATATAATAATAACCCTTGAAATATATCTATGAAAATAAAATACAGCAATGTATTTTTGTTAGTTTTTACCACCGTCATAATCCCCTGTAGCCTCCCCCAAGGAACGCCACAAAGCGCGGTCCTGAGCCACTTGCATCCATCGACTTCCTGCATGTCTCACCATTTCGTCATTTCTTCTAGTAGTATGGAGGCCGCCCTACACTTTGCTTGCCGGTACGAGACTGCCACTCAAGAATTTCGATTGTCGGTTCCTCGAGCTATATGGCCGGCCCATTGCCATTTCAGCTTACCGATCCGTGGCGCTATGTCGGGTACTCTGGTTCTACTGCGGATATCCTTATGCTTTCTTGTTTTATATGCAGAGTAAAATATCTATCGCTACTCCACCGCTGAACATGGCCTCCCCCATGGATTGCTTCATAGGCGAAATATTTGCCATAGTTGCAACGCATGGCAGCCGGGTTGGCTCCTGGTTTCTTATCCTACTGTCGCCTCTTACGATAACCACGGGATATGATGGTATATTATTATTACACCGTCACTACACCGTTAAAAGTCTATCATAATATTTTAATATATTAAAATTTTGCCTTAACAAGGTAGCAATCATATTAAAATTTCAAAAAAAGATTTTCTCAACTATATTACTAAGAGCATTTCAACAAGATGTGTGTTATGGGAAATTACATACAAGTAAAATTCATATAAAAACATACGGTAAGTTGGCACTCGTAAGTAATAAAAAAGTTTATTTTATTGCTTTACAGAATTTGGGTCTTATTACAACGACATAAGAGCCACGGGTCAAATATTAAGCGTTCACTTTTAATTTTACAATACGCGAGCAATTGTGGTTCGATTCCCGCCGATACCGATGAAATTATAAATTGCATTTTTAAGTGTTGATTTACCACGTGTTCGGTGGTGAAGGAAAACATCGCGAGGGAACATAAAAATAAATAAATAAAAATTGTTTATTTTTTAACTTAGGTCTACAAGCATTATTTTGTGGCCAGAGTCGCAGAATGCTTGTGTTGGGTGACTCTGTTCTTCCATTGGACCGAGAATACAATATTTAATTTTAGTGTTTTTAATAACTAAACTAAACTATAGATTTTACAATATATCAAGGGCTAGAATACTAAATGAATGATAAATTTCAGATATTACATTGTGCCAAAACTGCGATAAACTGTGTTGATAAATCATTAAAATTTGAATTGTCTACCATTCGTATTTAAATAAGCGAGGGAACGTGTATGTGTAAGAAATAAGACATTGCGCGTGAAGTCCACCAACACTGAAGCAGCACGGCGTATTATTTGCTTCATAATCCGCTCAGAAATGAGCGGAGGCTCGTGTTCAGCAGCGGAACGCATAAAAGCTGTAACTACTTTATTTTAGACTTTAATTCATTATCATCATCAAAGTCCACTGCTGAACGTAATACGGCAACTACGGCAAATCCCGCATATTTGTCGTAGTTGCCACTCTTGGCGGGTTAGACGGGTTTGCAGGCGCAGGTTATAGTTATTTGAGTTGTTATTAAGGAGATGCTGCTCGATGGGAGATCTGTTCCACTTTCCCCCCTGTAGACTCTTACGACACCCACGCATACACACGCATACATACGGGGTTAGTCTAACGTCGCCACTATATGGCGACTTTTATTATTATTGAACCGTATTTTGCTTAAATATAAACACAAATCGAACAAAATATCAATATCACGAAAATTGTGCCCCCTGAAATCCATTGCACCGTTTTACCAGTGCTTCCTTTTTACAGTCTGTATTTCAGCGTTTTCCAATGCTTACACATTTGCTATCTATTATTCGTTAAGAGTATTTTGTCGGTTTGTAGCGCGTAAACTGTTGCATTGGAACATCATGGTATTTATTACCCTTGTGCAATATTGTATGGGAACATATTTTAAGTGAATTTTTGCAATCTATTGGATTTGAAAAATCTTTTCAATGGTTGAATGAACGAATAAATATTTTATAATATTACGCAACACCCAAAAAAGTATATAAACAGCAAAAAAAGAACAAAATAACAATATACACAAATACATTGGGTTTCAGCAAATAAAAGGCACCCGACTTAGAATGATGCTGCAACAGTGGAAGTTCTTCTTGGTATTACATTAGATCAATATATTATATCAATACATTGTATGGAAGTATTTTTCGAGATGTCTCGAATCTATTGGATTTGAAGATCTTTTGGGAGCTCTTACCGGTTAATGTATTATATTGGAGCACCTTTTCCCTATTTTGTATTAGAGCATTTTTAAGTTATGGCACAATATATTGCACTATTGTTTTTCGGGTGCTCTTTGATACTTTGTAGGATTGGAGCATCTAGTTGATGTTTCTCTTGTGCAATAGTATACAGAATTTTTGCGTTATTATGCAATGAGTCGCTTTCGAGCCTATAGAAAAATTTTATTAGCCTTAGAGTCTATTGCGGTGTAGCATCTTGTTTATGCTCCTCTTTTCTACCGACTTCAAAACGGAGACGGATTAAAATGGATTTGAAAATGTCGCTAAGTTTAGTGTTGTCACTGTCACATTAACTTTAAGCAATAGAGTATGGAGTGTAGAGTAGAAGGAGAACCATCTTATAAGGTGCGAAAGTTGAAAAAGTGTCCCAATATATACTGAAAATAGAGGTTCCAAAACCTACCACAATAGCGCTGGCGTCTGAAAAACTACGATATGAATATAGCTGTTGTAGACGGAGTGAAGTCAGCTGAATTAAAATATTTAAAAAATTTCATGACTAGAGTAGTTAGTAAAATGCCAGTATACAAAACCTCAACTATTTACGTAGTACAAAACCAAGCGGATTGGTCGGTCCTTGTTTATTTCTCCATCTTATTCTAATAAATTTTGGCGCTTTTTTTTAATTTATCCTATGCTACTACAGCGCCACCCTTATTGGACGCGTTTTTAGGGACACTTTTCATATACAGAGATGGTTCTCCTTCTACTCTACACTCCATACAATAGAGACAGCACGAGACTTAACGGCATCTTAAAATTTAGCAGTGTATTTAGGCATTGGTTTAAATAATTTTATAATACCTATTCCTTTCCCAAAGAATGATTATTATTGTTGAAAATCAATATGGTGGTTCATCAATTAACGAAATCAATTTCAAGCCTTGTAATTTTAATGTAATTTTTTATATAAGTCTCGCCTACTTACTGTCACGGAGCTGTCAAAATTTTTACTTATTTTTGTAGGGTTGGCACGGAATGATAAAATTGTATACAAAACGTTTATCAGCTTTTACTATATACTTAAAATAAAATATTTTTTACAAGCTACTTATTCTAAACATTTTATTTTTATAATTTTTGTTCTTCAACAATTTGTTGTACCTTTTAATTTAATGGTAAATTATAATCTAATGTAAAGTTTTTTTTTTAAATAAACTGTAGTGGAAAGCATGGCATAACAAACATACAATCTTGCACATGTTTTAATATTTAATTACCAATATTTACAATGTTTCCTTGGAGGTCAAAATATTTTTGCGCAAGTAGTTCATACATTCATTTCAGATACATGCTCACGTTGGCTGAAACTCGCACAAGCACCGTCATTTGTTGACAAGTTGGGTGTTGGAAAAGAATTTCCAAATAAATATTTTACTTTTCTTTTTTTTGAAAACAATACAGGATCCTCACAGATTCTATATTGTTGCCTTTTTTATAATAAAAAATTTTTGAAAGATCTTCTCGTCCGACAATATTTTACCACTCTTGTCGTCTGAAATTATAATAAAAACATAGGTTTATGCGTTTTGAAATTATAAACGTAATTATTCAATGATAAACATTATTACAATAACTATTCAATCACATATAGGTAATTAGGTTCAACTACATTTTCTTTCAATGTTGAGGTATATGTATGAGGTATCTACCTGCCACATCAAAAATAATAAAGTTACTACTTACCTAGTGGAGTCTTTGAGATATTTAAAAAATGATATATTTTTAATTGTTCTATTATTGTTCATACAAGTTCAGAAAAAAGTTCAGTAAACCATATTTACACTTTTTATATTTCATTTGATACGAATAATAATTAAAAAAAAAATTGACGCTTATTATTCTTTACATAACCCTGAGTTTGAGCACTGGCCGAGCCGGTTTAAAGCAGTTTCTCTATGTACGTGACGAGCCGCCAGTGCTCACGCACACTCGCGCGTAAAGCTTATAGTAGTGTGCCTTTCTTAGCGCGGTTGTATGAAGCTTTGCCTCTGTACGGTACGGTTTCTTTACTCATGTGCTATTACTGTAAAATTGAGAAGTATGACGTCACACCGTAGGAATGTGCGAGGTCGGGCGAAATTGCAGATCTAGGCGATATGACGGCGCGAAGTCGCGATTGTATTTTGCAGTACTTATATGATACTATTGCATGATTGCATTGTAATTAAGAAAGAAGATCTCGTTTTGGTTTAGTTCACAGTATGATTATATTTTAAATTTTAATTGATATTTATTACAAAATATAATATATTTATTACCTTGTAAGTAGATTTAAAGAATTTTAATGTAGTCATACAATACTTTTAAGATTTTTAGTATGTAAGTTTTATCAAAGTGTGTTTGGTAGTGTAGTACTTATTATACGAAAACAATAAGTGATTCCTAATAGATTTTATAAATAACGTTTATAAAATATAAACATTATCTTTTAATATACTACGTTTGATTATTTTAAAATTTTTGTGAATTATTTCTTTATTGTTTTTTCTTCTTCATAATTTCATTACCAATTTTTTTAGAATGGGTTTTATTAAATAAGAATATATTAATAACAAATTAGTATAATGAAAGATTATGTATACAATATAATAGTTATAAGTAAATCTTAATCTCATAGAAAATAAAAACTGAATGTGGGTTTTAATAAAAACTTAAACAGAAGTTCATTTTGCAATTAAGCTTCCAATGAGTGCCGTCTCGTTGGTCTAGTGGTAAACGCGACTATTTATCATAAGGTGCCGGGTTCGAATTCCGCGTTGGTAAATTAACTCCCCGGGCTGGGGAACAGAAATTATTAGAATATCTTGTATATTTTGTACGTGGTAGAGTCATACTTCAGCTATATCAGTAGTATAGTTGTAGCACGAATGGGTTGGCTCAACCGGGGAAGGACCACGCTCTCACAGAATACCAGCGCAAAATGGCATTTTGACACTGCTGTGTTTCGTATGGTGAGTGTAGAGAACCGGAGACCCATTTTACTGGAAAAGAGGCATCCCATCTTAGTCCTCACTGGTGACGACGCATCTGCATTTTGATTCTTCATTGAGGATAAATGTAGATGTCCATGGGTCACAGCAACCACTTACCATCAGGTGGACTGTGTGCTCGTTTGTCACCCTATCCTATAAAAAAAATCTTGACAGAAATTCTGAGTATCAGCCTGGGATCAGGAAGTTGGCGGTGTTTCACCCGCGTGCCTCGGTAAGCACGTAAGCCGTTGGTCCCATGATTGATTGACCTCTCACCGGTCGTGTCGGCCTACCGTCCATGAGTGAGGGAATAGCGAGTGCACCTGTGCTTGCGCATACACTCTGGCACTATATCCTGTCTTGCGCTGATGGCTGGTCTTAGTTGAGAATGGCCGCCGTGAACGAAATTAAGAAATTGGTTTTGAGGCGATGTCGTCGTTTCTTATCGAGACAGGTGAAACGAAGACGCTCGCTAAAGTTCCTTTTGAACAGTAGAATTTGACTCTCGGTTACAAAAGGGTGATATTTGAAATTGTCAAATTTAGAATCCAATTTTTTTTAATGAGTAGTATAAGCAGCACGGAGAAGGTTTGTTGATGCTCTTTCCTCTTCCGATGCGTCTAGTACTTGTCTGCTCAGCAGCCTTTTCTATAGTCGATAACGCTAATAGCAAGCTGTAAAATGAAAGTGTATGGCATATCTCAACGTTAGGTTACGTGAATTAACTTTGATTACATTCCTTTTTTGGAGTTGATGTTGATGAATGTAGAAAGTGAACGTAGTTTTGCAATAATTCAATCGACGCGTAACGGCGTGCGCTTTCGTCAAATCTTCTCCACGTTGATGAAAATTAAATATTTTATTATATTTTAAGAAAATTAACAGTTATTTAGAATCATTTGTTTTTATACATTTATGTAGAAATTAACCATTACTAAGTTTTCACATGTATAATTAATAAATTTTTATAATTATAAGTTATTGAACCAAAAAATTATTGAGTATTATAACACCAAAAGATTCCATTAAATTTAAGTGCCAAAATTTTATTATTTATAGAGGAAATTTATGAATTTAAATTATTGAATGAAATCCAAACTATATTCACTTTTATATCTAGAATTAAGATATTATCTATATTATAATTATGATCATTTAGCACTTAGAATAGGTTATGTTAATTTTAATATAAGTAATTAAATTTAATATAAAGTAATTAAAGAATTGCTATAGTGAAACATTACTGTTTTTTATTTTTATGCAAAAGGACTAATTGACTTCGAAATTGTAAAAGCCCTCCAGTCGCTCTTTGTAAACTTGAAGTAATATATGAATTTACAACCCACTTGATGGTAAGTGCCTACAGCAACCCATGAATGCTACAAATTTGAAACAAAAAAGCTACAAATGCGTTGTCACCTCTGAAGTGTAAGATGGAATGCATCACAAGCACATATTGTAACTATACTGGCTCCCCATACCGTCTAGTACGAAACAGGAAAGAACAGAAATACGTTATAGGATGGTACCTCTCCAGACGGACTCCTAGCTGCATGGTAGAATAAAAGTTTTACCACCTGGTAAGTCGCGTGCTAAGTAAATCCGTATGTGAGAGTTTTACAACCAGATAACCAAGCACGGTCCGGTGCTGAAGAACAATATTGTGAAAAAGCCTTCTAAGATAGGTTTCTTATGGAATATGGGTAACAAACGAGCACAACAGTCCATTTGACGGTAAGTGGTTGCTGTGGCCCATATACATTACGTTTTTATCCTCGATTATGAATCAAAATGCAGATGCGTTGCCATCCTTAATGAGTAAGATAAAATGCCTCGTTTCCAATAAAGAGGTTCTCCGGTCTCTACACTCATCATACAAAACAGTAGCACTAAACTGGTATTCAGTAAGCGCGTGATCCACCACCGATCGAGTCATAATATAGCTGCAGTAATGCTCTATCGCCTAAAATCGATATAAAAGAGATATATATATATATATGTACATATATATATATATATATATATATGTACATATATATGTTTATAGTATATGTTGGTCTAAAGCGATTCGAGCAATGTGGCAGATTACTTGCTCTCTCTGTGGGCAGACTGTTCGCTGCGTTTTTTTTAAATAAAATAAAAAACAAACTTAGTAACGCTATGATCGTTACTCATACTCCCGCTAACCGTTCTAAGTAAGGTTAAAAATGTTTGTGTTGAGAGTGGTACACCACAGTAGTCGAATGGCGGATTTACTTCGAATGCGCGTTGGTAGACTGTGGCGGGAGGGGTGTTTTTTCTCCTTCTTGTCACAGCCGAGGTGGAGTCGCGGGGGAATAAGTGTCGGAATAAGTAAGGTGCACTCCCTACCTTCCGCGGTCAAAACTTGAATGGCAGGTGGCGGCGGAACCACACCAGATTTGCGGCTGAGGTCAGTAAAGCTGGTACTTCTGTGCTCTGCTTTCCCGGCCCCATGGCCTCCGTGTAACGGACTCGGGGGGGGGGGGGGGGGGGAGGGGGGGGGGGACTCGCTGCGCAGGTGGAGTTGCGGAGGAACGCGCGCCATATGTTCTGGTGCGCCTTACCTGAGAAGGAGAACGAGGAGAAGTCCCCATGGCAGCCCGGAAGGGCTAATTGGAACTCGTATATATTATTTTTCTTCCGATTTTCTCCCTTAGCTGTGTATAGTCATTTAGACATACATACATGATAAAAACTGGCCCCAAGATACTTAGTAGACATCAGTATACCTATAAAAATATATACATACTTATTGTTTGAAAGTACCAAATTACGTCTACTCAACAATGAAATTAGTGCTGGTAATTACCTGGAATTCTGAAATATGAATTTATAAATTACGTAATAATATTCTTCAAAACAAGGTATTTTAATTTTATTTAAATGCAATGAGAAAAGCAAAAAGTGTAGTGAATGAAAGAATTATAATGAAAGGAGAGAAGTCTGGGGTTCCCCATTAAGGGTTCCATTTGACCTTTTTAGGTACGGAACTCTAAAAAATATCATTGAGTTGTTGAATTTCTGAACGTCTAACACCTTTTATACTACAATAGCTATAAAATCTTTGAGGCGTTTTCCGTATCGAATCTCGTTCCGTTAGTCACAATTTTTTAAACAAAACATTCAATTTTTGATAATTGATTAATGGGTCTAAAATTTGACACAATATGTAACTGTCTTTATTATGCGAGCAAGCTATGGATAGAGGTGGTATTCAAACAAAATAAATATTTTCAACTTTAACTTAGTTGTCCCGGTTCTAAAACAACAAATATGGGAGAAGTATTTCATAAATAAAACAGTCACTATTAACTAATGTTTTTTATTTAATTAAATAAGGTGCGTTTAAAGTTGACTTGTGCCTTGAATGACAGTCTTTATGCCGGATGGCTTTTGCTTCGGTAATCTGTGAAAAAAAAACGATCACAACTATTAGGAACTCTGTTCACTAATTTTGTTGCCATCATAATAATAGTCACTTCGTTGTACATTGCGTCATATGTTTAATGAGTAGGTCTTAGACAAGAGCAATATAGCAAAAGATGAAATGTACTACAGTGTAGAAGAATAAAGAAGTTAGGGAATAGGTGTGCAGGACGGATTATATATTATTGTGGTGTAAATCCTAGAATTTATTAATAAACTGCAATAAAATTTTGAAAAAAAAAATGAAATTTTGTATTTAGAAAATGTTTTACTTTAAAAGTTTTTATAAATCACTTACAAAAAAAAAAAAAAACTAAAGCCAAGCATAGTTCGGTCGCCTAGGTACTTTAAGGCATACATTATTGTCATATTTTTAGAATGACTCACTTAATTATTATAATATTAATTAGGCCATGCGGTCGTCTGAATTAACGTATTTACGAATATACAATATTGTAACATTAACTACATAATAAAAGTACTTTTTTAAATATAGCGAATGATAGGTCGTACCGCGTGTGGATGATTTTGCGCGGGGAAGAGGGATGCACGAGGTCGTGCTGTCTCTCCCACTCGAGATACTTCTGATGCTGGCGCTGTCTGCGTCTGTCCACGTAGCTTATCTAAATAATATATGATATTATTAAAATTACGTTTGCAGAACCGAAAAATAAGGTGCCACAAAAGTAAAGCTGCTGTCAAAATCTACCAAAAACTTCGTAATATTATTAATTAAAGGATAATTTCTTATTACTTGACACTGGTGAAAATACAACGGTACGAGTTCATTACAAATAAAAAATATTATGTGTGTAGTTTTTGGAAAATTTCGACGGCAGCTTGAGCCAGCAGTAAGTCTATGACTATAGTATCTCAAGGCGCATAAGCAGACCGATTATCTTCAAGCGACATCCCCATCGGAGCATTTGTTTTATCATTTCACATCTCTCTCATCACTTTTAAAAGTCAAAATATATTTCAAACCATTATTCAAATAATTATATAGGAGCAGTCAGTCGCCACCGGTCAAGTTCTCGCCAAAAATTCCTGGCGAGTGTTGCATTTGAAAGTTCTTTTTTGCTGTTAATTGTTTTTGTTATAATAATTATTTTTCGTATATATTTGTAATAATCGTCACTTGAAAAAATATTACTTTAGCTCTTGAATTTAAAACTTTAAATTTGTGTTATTTTAGTTCCCATCTCATGTTTCATTTCTCTGTCGCCTCTGACGTTTTTACATTGCCTCTAGACAGTAAAAGATAATAATTATCAACGTAAAACTAACTACAAATACAAGACATATTTGATGTTTCTAATAATGTTTACAGACAAAATAAACTCACCACACAACTGGCCGGTATCCACACGAAAGCGGTGACAAGGACAACAACTCCCACTATATTGTCCCGCAGGAATCCCAACACGTTGTTGATGTTGATGTCCTCTATTATATTCCAGATTCGCTCTACCACGTCTTGTATTGTTTTCTCACAGACGCCCTGCAAAGGTATATATAATAAATTATGTTACTAATGGTGAACTGATGATATTTCCGACAATAAAGGTCAATGACATCTGTCAAGTAATAAAATGTGTAGGCATAATATAAATAATGCTTAAACTAGTGATGCAAGCAAGACGCAACCTTAGGCTTACGAATATAAAGCCTTTTCTCCTTTGGACATATTGTTATCGTTATGTAATCGCGAGTGTTCCAGTACCTTCCGGTTAAAAGAGTGAAATGACCTGGATTAACCTATCATCAACATCATCATCATTACAGCCCTTCACAAGTCCACCGCTGAACATACTCCTACTCCAAGGAATGTCATAAAGCACGGTCCTGAGCCACCTGCATCCATCAACTTTCTGCATGTCTTACCAGGTCGTCACTCCATCTAGTGGGGGGACGCCCTACACTTCGGCCGCCGGTACGAAGCCACCACTCGAGAACCTCTTTTCCTCATCGGTTGTCGGTTCTTCGAGCTATATGGTCGGCCCATTGCCACTTCAGCTTACTAACCCGTTGGGCTATGTGGGTCACTCTGGTTCTACTGTGGATATCCTCATTTCTAAGTTTATCACGCAGAGAAACCTCGAGCATAGTTCGCTGAGCGATCTTGAGCTTCCTCACACAGCCAACAGTTAAGGACCACGTTTCAGTTCCATAGGTCATCACTGGCAACACGCACCGGTTATTGTCTCGTTTTCAAGTTTTGAGGCATACCTGACGAGAAGATGTGCCGTAATTTCCCGAACGCTGCCCAGCCGAGTTGAATCCGTCGATTGACCTCTCGGTCGAAGTTGGACTTACTTAGTCAGACTACTATTTTTTTTTTAATAGTATCGGGTGACAAACGAGCACACAGTCCACCTGATGGTAAGTGGTTACTGGGACCCATAGACATCTACATCTATCCTCAATAAAGACTCAAGATGCAGATGCGTTGTCACCCGTGAGGACTAAGATGGAATGCTTCTTTGCCAGTAAAAAGGGTCTCCGGTTCTCTACACTCACCATACGAAACACAGCAGCGTTAAGCTGCTATTTTAGGCTGGGTTTCTGTGAGAGCGTGGTCCTTTCCCGGTTGAGCCGACCCATTCGTGCTACAACCATAATATAGCTGCAGCATGGCTCTACCACGTAGAAAACTACTACTACTACTATTGAGGTCATTGTGCAGTGCTTTAAGTCCTCCAGCAATTCTGCCATAAGGACTATATCGTCGGCAAATCGAAGGTGAGTGATGTACTCGCCGTTGATGTTAATACCGTATCCTTTCCAGTCCAGAAGCTTGAAAACGTTTTCCAACGCAGCGGTGAGGAGTTTCGGGGATATAACGTCACCCTGTCTTACACCTCTGCAGTTGGATAGGTTTCGTACTCTGGTTCTGTACTCCGATAGCCATCGTAGCCTAACTGTACAAATACTTCAGCACCGCCCAAATTTCGACGGAATCAAAGGCTTTCTCATAGTCCACATACGCCAGACCTAGTAACAATTTTTACTCCTCGGACTTCTGTACAATTTGCCGAAGGGTATGTATGTGGTCTAGGGTGCTAAAGCCTTTTCGGAAACCGACTTGTTCGGGAGGCTGGAAGTCGTCGATTCTGCCGAGATTAACCTAGAATGTTTTATATTCCTCTTATTGAGTATAAGGCTGGACTCACACATCCGGATTGTTTCTCTGAATTGATGTTGTTAATTAAGAAGGTCTAGAATTGCATACAATTTAACTATTCTCCACACACATTCAGATTTTTTCAGATTATGATTTTCTCAGATCGATCTGTAAGAATGACACTGACGAGCTTTCTGAATTCCGGATCGTAATATTTAAGATTATGATTACGTAACGCCCGTTTTTTATACATTTGGACACACAAGCACACACACACACACCGGAATCACATTAAGAATTATGTCAATAGACACTGCGAGCGGTAACGGCTAGACGTATTGCGACTTGTGAAGTTTTTTTTTTAATGTAGAAAACGGGGCAAGCGAACATGCGGCTCACATGATGGTAAGTGAATACTGCCTATACCACGGCCGAATATAAATAACCGCAACACCATGGGAATTGCAGGACATAGAAGTTTATAATGTAGAACTGACTTTCCCTCACTCTGTTCAGATTAAGAGGATGAATCGAGTGTATTCGTTTGCGTCTCTTTTTTATTATTATTTAAAGCTAAAAGTAGTGCGATGAGTGTTAATTCCTCTTCCATATCCGAGACGTGTGCCTGACCCAAAAAACACGAAACCATTGATTTATCTGAAATTTTAAGATATGTGTGAGGCAGCTTGCCGGAATACAAATTATGAATTTGGACTCTGAATTCAGAGAGGCATTCTGGATGCGTGAGTCTAGCCTAAAAGCGTGTGCCGGCGATCGGATTTTTTAATTTCTTCGGGGACGCGAAAGTGAACCCTACTTTGGTAAGCAACTACGAACTAGCAATCGACCTACAACATCTGCGGCTTTAGTGATTTTGGACGACAAAATTGTTTGCTGTGTGTGTGGAGGATTACATCTAATACTAATTAGCAGTTTACTCAATTTTTAAGTTGCATTTTACTTATATATATACCTACCTAAAGGCTACCTTTTTACTTATGATGTCATTGACTGCCGGTAGCTTTTTCTCTCCCCTAAAATAGCAGCATATACTGTTCTTTTTGTATGGTAACGACAACCGGATACCCTTTTTACTTCTTACCAACATACCATCTTGCTATCAGACAAAATAAAAATATTTTTGATAAAAATTGACCTTTACAAAGCACTTGCAACGTTATCGCCTCAAAAACGTCCAAACGTTCTTCAAATTATGACAACAATCATTGCACTTAAATCATTTACTGTCATTTAACCCCTACGTTCCATATCCACCTTTATACATGATATGTAGCCTTTTAAGCTGTACCAGAACAAGGTCAGTTAGAATAATTAGAAAGACCTTACTTCAGCTACCTTGGTGCTAATTACCTTATTACAGAATCCTTGTATGCATGGAGTTCCATCGGGCAGTATATCGTTGTGTGCGACAGGGAAGCACGTCTTGTTCAGACTCTTGCGGCAACAGCGTTTACACGCGTCCGCAACTGTAGGGGACACGTACATTTATATCATTTATTAGAATAGAATAATTAAAAGAAATAAAATCTCTTTAATTTTTCGACGTCGCAGAAATTAAAATTGAATTTTTTAAACGTTAACATGTTTATAATCTACTACAGTTTTGAAATGAGGTTCCACTATCTGAAGAAGAAATAGCAAAGAAACTGTGCAGGTATGCTCTTATTTCGGCATTTTTAAAGGTCAAAGATAAATTTTTTTTTAGCCAAAAATGAAAGGAATAGGCCTATATACAAAGTTATTTTTCAGAGTAGCCATATTTTATATTTATAAATAAATAAATTAATATATACCGATATTAAATTTTTTGAAAATACGAGTAAATAAGGCTTCTACTTGTATTTGAAATTATACCAAATTGATTCAATTCACGTTTTCATTTCTCAAGTTTTTGTCTACTGTTTACTTTCTTACTAACATGCTTATTACTAATGCTTAAGATAATAATTACATGACGCGAATTATGATTCCAATTTTCCTCTTACACTTTTAACATTGTCATAGTAAATAAAATAAAAAAAAATAGTTTGTGTTATCAACGTGTATTTAAAAATTAGAAGTTAGTAGCAGTAGTGTGTGTGTGTGTGTGTGTGTGTGTGTGTGTGTGTGTGTGTGTGTGTGTGTGTGTTGTGTGTGTGTGTGTGTGTGTGTGTGTGTGTGTGTGTGTGTGTGTCACTGATTGATGTCGCCCACACAGCTGTGCATGCCCCGAGTCTCGGCAGTAGTGTGTGTGTGTGTGTGTGTGTGTAACTGACCGATGTCACACATGCAGCTGTGCATGCCATGAGTCTTGCAGTAGTGTGTGTGTCACGGATCGATATCGTACAAGCAGCTGTGCATGCCCTGAGTCTCGCAGCAGTGTGTGTGTATGTGTGTGTGTGTCACTGACCAATGTCGAACATGCAGCTGTGCATGCCATGAGTCTTGCAGTAGTGTGTGTGTCACTGACCGATATCGCACATGCAGCTGTGCATGCCCTGAGTCTCGCAGCAGTGTGTGTATGTGTGTGTGAGTGTGTGTGTGTGAATGTGTGTGTGTGTGTGTGTGTGTGTGTGTGTGTGTGTGTGTGTGTGTGTGTGTGTGTGTGTATGTCACTGACCGATACCGCACTAGCAGCTGTGTATGCCTTGAGTCTCGCAGTAGTGTGTGTGTCACTGACCGTTATCGCAAATGCACCTGTGCATTCCCTGAGTCTCGCAGTAGTGTGTGTGTGTGTGTGTGCCACTGACCGATGTCGCACATGCAGCTATGCATGCCCTGAGTCTCGCAGTAGTGTGTGTGTGTGCCACTGACCGATGTCGCACATGCAGCTGTGCATGCCTCGAGTCTCGCAGTAGTGTGTGTGTGTGCCACTGACCGATGTCGCACATGCAGCTGTGCATGCCCCGAGTCTCGCAGTAGTGTGTGTATGTGTGCGTGCCACTGACCGACGTCGCACATGCAGCTATGCATGCCCTGAGTCTCGCAGTAGTGTGTGTATGTGTGCCACTGACCGATGTCGCACATGCAGCTGTACATGCCCTGAGTCTCGCAGTAGTGTGTGTATGTGTGTGTGTGTGTGTTTGTGTGTGCCACTGACCGATGTCGCACATGCAGCTGTGCATGCCCTGAGTCTCGCAGTAGTGTGTGTATGTGTGTGTGTGTGCCACTGACCGATGTCGCACATGCAGCTGTGCATGCCCTGAGTCTCGCAGTAGTGTGTGTATGTGTGTGTGTGTGTGTGTGCCACTGACCGATGTCGCAAATGCTCAGTGCATGCCCTGAGTCTCGCAGTAGTGTGTGTATGTGTGCCACTGACCGATGTCGCACATGCAGCTGTGCATGCCCTGAGTCTCGCAGTAGTGTGTGTATGTGTGTGTGTGTGTGTGTGTGTGTGTGTGTGTGTGTGTGTGTGTGTGTGTGTGTGTGTGTGTGTGTGTGTGTGCCACTGACCGATGTCGCACATGCAGCTGTGCGTGCCCTGAGTCTCGCAGTAGTGTGTGTATGTGCGTGTGTGTGTGTGCCACTGACCGATGTCGTACATGCAGCTGTGCATGCCCTGAGTCTCGCAGTAGTGTGTGTATGTGTGTGTGTGTGTGCCACTGACCGATGTCGCACATGCAGCTGTGCATGCCCTGAGTCTCGCAGTAGTGTGTGTATGTGTGTGTGTGTGCCACTGACCGATGTCGCACATGCAGCTGTGCATGCCCTGAGTCTCGCAGTAGTGTGTGTATGTGTGTGTGTGTGTGCCACTGACCGATGTCGCACATGCTGCAGTGCATGCCCTGAGTCTCGCAGTAGTGTGTGTATGTGTGCCACTGACCGATGTCGCACATGCAGCTGTGCATGCCCTGAGTCTCGCAGTAGTGTGTGTGTGTGTGTGTGTGTGTGTGCCACTGACCGATGTCGCACATGCAGCTGTGCATGCCCTGAGTCTCGCAGTAGTGTGTATGTGTGTGTGTGTGTGTGTGTGTGTGTGTGTGTGTGTGTGCCACTGACCGATGTCGCACATGCAGCTGTGCATGCCCTGAGTCTCGCAGTAGTGTGTGTATGTGTGTGTGTGTGTGTGCCACTGACCGATGTCGCACATGCTGCAGTGCATGCCCTGAGTCTCGCAGTAGTGTGTGTATGTGTGCCACTGACCGATGTCGCACATGCAGCTATGCATGCCCTGAGTCTCGCAGTAGTGTGTGTATGTGTGTGTGTGTGTGCCACTGACCGATGTCGCACATGCAGCTGTGCATGCCCTGAGTCTCGCAGTAGTGTGTGTATGTGTGTGTGTGTGTGTGTGTGTGTGTGTGTGTGTGTGTGTGTGTGTGTGTGTGCGCCACTGACCAATGTCGCACATGCAGCTGTGCATGCCCTGAGTCTCGCAGTAGTGTGTGTGTATGTGTGTGTGTGTGTGTGTGCCACTGACCGATGTCGCACATGCTGCTGTGCATACTCTGAGTCTCGCAGTAGTGTGTGTATGTGTGCCACTGACCGATGTCGCACATGCAGCTGTGCATGCCCTGAGTCTCGCAGTAGTGTGTGTATGTGTGTGTGTGTGTGCCACTGACCGATGTCGCACATGCAGCTGTGCATGCCCTGAGTCTCGCAGTAGTGTGTGTATGTGCGTGTGTGTGTGTGCCACTGACCGATGTCGCACATGCAGCTGTGCATGCCCTGAGTCTCGCAGTAGTGTGTGTATGTGCGTGTGTGTGTGTGCCACAGACCGATGTCGCACATGCAGCTGTGCATGCCCTGAGTCTCGCAGTAGTGTGTGTATGTGTGTGTGTGTGTGCCACTGACCGATGTCGCACATGCAGCTGTGCATGTCCTGAGTCTCGCAGTAGTGTGTGTATGTGCGTGTGTGTATGTGCCACTGACCGATGTCGTACATGCATCTGTGCATGCCCTGAGTCTCGCAGTAGTGTGTGTATGTGTGTGTGTGTGTGCCACTGACCGATGTCGCACATGCTGCTGTGCATACTCTGAGTCTCGCAGTAGTGTGTGTATGTGTGCCACTGACCGATGTCGCACATGCAGCTGTGCATGCCCTGAGTCTCGCAGTAGTGTGTGTATGTGTGTGTGTGTGTGTGTGTGTATGTGTGCCACTGACGGATGTCGCACATGCAGCTGTGCATGCCCTGAGTCTCGCAGTAGTGTGTGTATGTGTGTGTGTGTGTGTGTGTGTGTGTGTGCCACTGACCGATGTCGCACATGCAGCTGTGCATGCCCTGAGTCTCGCAGTAGTGTGTGTATGTGTGTGTGTGTGTGTGTGTGTGTGTGTGTGTGTGTGTGCCACTGACCAATGTCGCACATGCAGCTGTGCATGCCCTCAGTCTCGCAGTAGTGTGTGTATGTGTGTGTATGTGTGCCACTGACCGATGTCGCACATGCAGCTGTGCATGCCCTGAGTCTCGCAGTAGTGTGTGTATGTGTGTGTGTATGTGTGTGTGTGTGTGTGTGTGTGTGTGTGTGCCACTGACCGATGTCGCACATGCAGCTGTGCATGCCCTGAGTCTAGCAGTAGTGTGTGTATGTGCGTGTGTGTGTGTGCCACTGACCGATGTCGCACATGCAGCTGTGCATGCCCTGAGTCTCGCAGTAGTGTGTGTATGTGCGTGTGTGTGTGCCGCTGACCGATGTCGCACATGCAGCTGTGCATGCCCTGAGTCTCGCAGTAGTGTGTGTATGTGCGTGTGTGTGTGCCACTGACCGATGTCGCACATGCAGCTGTGCATGCCCTGAGTCTCGCAGTAGTGTGTGTATGTGCGTGTGTGTGTGTGCCACTGACCGATGTCGCACATGCAGCTGTGCATGCTCTGAGTCTCGCAGTAGTGTGTGTATGTGCGTGTGTTTGTGTGCCACAGACCGATGTCGCACATGCAGCTGTGCATGCCCTGAGTCTCGCAGTAGTGTGTGTATGTGCGTGTGTGTGTGTGTGCCACTGACCGATGTCGCACATGCAGCTGTGCATGCCCTGAGTCTCGCAGTAGTGTGTGTATGTGCGTGTGTGTGTGTGCCACTGACCGATGTCGCACATGCAGCTGTGCATGCCCTGAGTCTCGCAGTAGGGCACGCAGGTGCCGTTGCGGCAACGCCCGCGTTCCGCACACTCGTGCTCGTCCGCTATGGCCGGCGCCTGAGCAACATACCAAAAATAATTAATTGAACCAGGTGTTATTATGCGGAAATCCATTACTATAAAATTGAAAAAATTAATTACAGTCGATTTGGGTAACTTTGAACATTTTTTACAGTATTTGTGATACTACATTCTGATTTATATTTATACGCGTTTGTTTTATTGAAAAAATTGTGTTCTTTTGAGTTGGTTTATTTTTTCAACACAATAAATTTACGGAAAAAACAACAGAACTACCTAGAAATTCCTCTAGAAGTCAAATTCAAACTTATCATGTGTTTTGGGTAACTTTGAATCTAAATTTTTTAGGATGTAAAAACCTATATTAATCCAATATTTTAAGGTTTGGGTAAAATTAGACGACGTATTTTTTATTTAAAAAAGCCTAATCTATCAAAATGGCATCTACGGTGACGTTCAAATATAATAGATAACTTGGTATTGCCATATGAATCAAGGTGGACCAATTTGGAGGGAAAAAAGGTCGTGTATTTTTATAATTAATTATTACATTGAGATAAAGTAGGAAAGTTGTGTGTAACATAACAAATTATACATTTATTTGGCTATCGAATGAGATCAAAATCGTAATTCTAATTAACATTTTCTTAAACAAAATCATTCACCCCATTGCATTAACAAAATTTCATCTTCAATAAAAAGTTGGCCGCCTTTTTTTGATAACTGTTGCTCTTTTAAAATACTTATTACATTGGCCTCATCGATTTGATATAATATGTCAGCTTTAGAGGGCCAAGACCAACCTCCTAAAAAGTTTTTTTGGAGCACAGAGACTTGTAAGGGTCTTACTTTTTGTATCCTTCCTGGGAACAAACTACCCTCTTTAAAGACAAAATATGTACCCTCTTTTATTTTCGGGACTTTAACGTCTTCCTCGCCTGTACACTTCTCAGTCGTCACGCCCTTTAAATCACCACTTGTCTCATCTACTATATATTCTTCTATCATTTCTTCATCCATTAAAACCACTTCACTACCTATGTCTAAGTCAGGGCTTTCTTCATTTACAACTTCTATTTCCTGGATCATACCTTCTGTCACTTTATTTTCAAAAGCGTTGTTTACGTCACCAACAGATGTCTTGGAAAGATTAGGAGGTTGGTGAACTAAAGCTTCCAGTACTATTGCTTATCTTTCAATTTTTTCAGATTTATAATCACTATTTTTTTCAGTACTTGTATCTTCTGCTTCTCCATTTTTAATCTGGTCACTGTGAAAATCTTTATTTTTTTCATATTCTGTATCATTATTAATCTTCTTTTTCTTTTTGTTCTTAGAACCCAGGGGTCGTCCTTTTTTCTTGGATTGCTCGCCGCTTTCAGGTCCCTTTGGTCCTATACTTTTGTTTGTATTGTCTCTTTCTTCAAAATATTTTTCGACCTCAGCCGAAACGCTTTTCCCAGCCGTAACAGGTAATTGAAATTTTCTTCCTTTCTTCACATGCAAATCTCCTTGCCTTATTTCTTCTATGTAGTTTATGAAACTTGTACCAACAGAATCGCCAACATCTGCCTGAGATGTGTACCTTGGTAATTCGTTCAAAACGGTAGAAAGTGAAATTGGTAGCAAGGCACAGTTCTGAAATCCGGCTTTTACATTATCAGACGACGTACTTTCAATATTATTTAGAGACTGGGCAAAGAGAAGCTTTGGCAGTGCTTGTGTCTTTTTTTCTTTATTAGTCTGTTGATAATCATCCCTTATGGGTCAGTTTTACGCAGCGGGCATACAACACCTTACGTATACATTATAATAATGCTTTTAGATTGTTGCTGGGGCTCCCACATTACTGTAGTGCATCAGGTATGTTTGTTGACGATCATATAGACAATTTTTCAACACTGATTCGCAAAAAAACTGCGCCACTGATGCACAGGGTTCGTGGGAGCGCCAACAGCATTTTTAACGTAATTAGCGAGAAACCCGATTGTACTTTTTTGAGGCTCTGGATGCATATTCATGTCCATGTATCCGTTGCCTCGGACAGGCAACCCAGATATATGAACTAATGTTTATTTAATTTACTATCTACTTTTAACAAATTATGGTCTGCAATAAATGATTAATTATTATTATTATATCTTATATATAGATTTTGTTAATATATTATTGAGTCGGGTCTGTTGTTAGTCACGTTTATATTGATTTATATTATTTTGTTAATATTAAATAAGTATTATATTTTCAATATTATTATGAATACTTATGCATTTGATATATTAATTTTAGTAATGAGTAATAATTTTAGTATTAGAATTAACGTGAATGAATGTAATATTACCCTATGCTTGCTGGTCGAAATAAATAAATAAATGAATAAAATAAATTAATTGAGAACTTTCCTCCATGCAGTTTTTAATCCAGCAAAATAACCCACATCTATTTATTGCAACACGTGGGTTGAATTTGGTAGTAAGCAAATAAACGTAATGTTATGTTCATTGCAAAGACGTAATGCTTTTGTTGATTTATGGGCGCTGAGATTATCGCACAACAATACTTTCTTGCCATCTTGCTTATCAACGTGTGGAATAAAATGTCTCTCCAACCACTCCTCAAAGATTAAAGTATCTATCCATCCAGATTCAGACACAGTCATTCTTGAACCTGAAGGAGCTTGAAAAAGCCAATCTGACCACAGTCTGTTTCCTTTAAATATAAAAAAGGAGGCAAAACTTAGCCACCAGCATTTGCAAAAAGACTACAGTGTAACACGATTTACCGGGAGTTTTTTATAATTTCTGGATGTCGAGAGTCCCTACGAAAAAGCAACTTTTTCTTTCCAGGGTTGTCATGAAATCCCGACTCATCCATGTTATATATATTCTCTGGTGGGACTCCTTCTATTTCCGTTTTAACATGTTCAAAGAATTCCTCGACCATTTCTCGTGTTACTTGAGAAGCCCTCTTTCGGGATATATTATGAGCTATTTTTGCTTTCAATTCTGAGTTTCTTTCTAAGAACAATACACCCCATTCGTAACCTGGAAGGTTGTTTTTAAAATTGTGGCTTTGTTATATTGTTGCTATCTAAGTAGTTTTTTAATACAAATCTGAAGTCTATCATACTAATAGGTATGCCGAGATCGCTTAGTAGCAACAAATGAGCCTTGAAGCTAGTTTCTTCGTCTTTACTAAAAGTAACAGATTTACCAACTGGTTTAATATGTTTACTTTTCAATTTGTAAAAAAAGGTCACCACGGGTATTTTGTAAAACTTTGAAGCAGCGAGTCTAGACATGGCATCTGAACGAATTTTACTGAGGGCTTCTTCGAGCGTTTCAGAGGTATAATTAGTCTTTAGGCCATATCTCCTAACACCGGTGTTCACTTTTGAGTTTTTCGGGGCATATTTTAGCTGTAAAAAACGAACATTTCAATCATAATGGAGCAACATTATGTATGTTCCTATTCAAAGTTATCCAAACAATATTTTTTAAAATACGAGTAACTTTGAACCGTTCAATGTTACCCAAATTACTTCAATTTTGAACGTCTTCAAAACTTCATCAGTTTTACACAATATTTAACATCAAAATCGAGTAATGATTAGAAAAAAATAAAATATAAACTACATTTAAAAGATAAACACCAAAACATACCTGATTACAATAAGTTTACTATATTTAATTACGATTTCAAATCAGAGCAACAAACACTTCCCATAACTTCACTTCGGAAAAGGCGAGTATATTTCAAAATAATGTATTTGACAGTTTATTTTTTTACTCTTCGTTTGCTACAAAACATTTTGGCGATCCATTTTACGCAGTTGCAATATCGAAACAACAAAAAGTTTTCTTGTTATAAATTAATAAATCTTTTTCACAACTTTGTTCAAAGTTAAACCGCAATTCAAAAGTTTTTTTTTTTTATAGAAGAGGGGGCAAACGAGCATGCGGCTCACCTGATGGTGACTACCGCCGCCCATGAACAACCGCAACACCAGAGGAATTGCAGATGCGTTGCCGGCCTTTTAGAAAGGTGTAAGCTCTTTTCTTGAAGGTCCCTAAGTTACCCAAAACGACTGTAGCTTAGATCCACTTAAATATAAAAATTATGTTTCTTTCTAGTTTAAAGAACATCTCCCATGATCCCTCAACTCAGCAACATCAGGAGAAATTACTGCGATGGCTGACCGCTAAGATATCTCATTTCATCTCATATCTTAATGGTTAGCCATCTCAGTTTACGCGTATATCTCCTGATGGTGCCTTATTTAGAGACTAAGCACGTGCTGTATTATAATAGGTGGTGCGCCTTTCCTAATGAAGTGGGACAAACAGTTGGGAGTAGTGGTGTTGGTATAAGTGGTGACAGGGATAGTGTACGAAATTGAGGGCAGGTGGAATGTGCTCATCCAACTAGGCTTATCAATTTTTAACACTAACTATAAGTAAATACGCTTCTTCTTTATAAGCTCGTAAAGTCAGATGGACATGGCCCACTTCTATTGTAGAGATAGTTTCATTAAATCATCACGATAGGCGTACCAGACGTTTCGCACCTTTGATGCTGCTTTCCGTCTTCGGTCTAATATTTTTCATGTGAAGTTAACCAAATGGTTATACCGCCATCTGATCAGCCATAAGATATTTTTTGTATAACCCAAAGTTGCCTCTTACCATAACCACGGGAAGGTGAATTCCCTTACGTCGTCCCCATACGCTATAATGTCAATGAAATAATTATCCTAAAAAAAATATCTCATTACTTCGATTATTGATTACACCGATTATGGCCTGATGGTATAGTGACTAAGCCGCTTCGCTACATCGCTGCGGCCCCAAGGAACGAAATAAGTATTTATATGACTAATGTTTGAGCTGATAAATAAAAGGTTAACTACAAAATATAGGGTTGTTCACCAAGTACAATAAATTAGGTTTAAACTAATTATTTCGAGGCAGTGTTCATGGTAATGTTCAAGATCCGAGTGTCGATATTAGGAATCGCCGCAGGTTATCATAACTTCCCAGTATTCCCTATTAGGCGTCGTCGTTACAAGTTACAAACAAACAAGTTATAAATACTTGTTCCGCGTCTGGATGTTTGTCCATCAATATGTGAAGCAATATGTGAAGTAAATAGCTTCCACGATGCATGAGAAGGAGTTTTAGCGGAAAATAAACCGCCGGCGGATTGCTGTTCCTGTATTATTGTTTAAATATTGGTTTGGGAAAGATTGTGATTTTGTGTATTAAATGTCTGCACATATGAACTATTAGTGGAAATCGTGAAACAAGTGGTCCGATAGTGATGTGAAGCTCAAGATAATGTAGCTGCTTAAGTGCTTAGATATATTATCGCCTTCAACTTTCTGCTGGCTAAAGGTACAGTCAATATCTCCCAAAACTTCGCTACATATTGTGAAGAATACTACTATGAAGGATAATTTCCTATTGAAACTGGCAAAAGTGCAATCGTACGAGTCTATAACCAAAGAAAGATACAGGAGAAAATTGTAGTTCACGTACCTTGGGACAGTCCGCCGCGGCTCCGTTGCACGTGGCCTCGCCCTCGCAGGCGAGTGTGCACACGTACCTTGGGACAGTCCGCCGCGGCTCCGTTGCACGTGGCCTCGCCCTCGCAGGCGAGTGTGCACACGTACCTTGGGACAGTCCGCCGCGGCTCCGTTGCACGTGGCCTCGCCCTCGCAGGCGAGTGTGCACACGTACCTTGGGACAGTCCGCCGCGGCTCCGTTGCACGTGGCCTCGCCCTCGCAGGCGAGTGTGCACACGTACCTTGGGACAGTCCGCCGCGGCTCCGTTGCACGTGGCCTCGCCCTCGCAGGCGAGTGTGCACACGTACCTTGGGACAGTCCGCCGCGGCTCCGTTGCACGTGGCCTCGCCCTCGCAGGCGAGTGTGCACACGTACCTTGGGACAGTCCGCCGCGGCTCCGTTGCACGTGGCCTCGCCCTCGCAGGCGAGTGTGCACACGTACCTTGGGACAGTCCGCCGCGGCTCCGTTGCACGTGGCCTCGCCCTCGCAGGCGAGTGTGCACACGTACCTTGGGACAGTCCGCCGCGGCTCCGTTGCACGTGGCCTCGCCCTCGCAGGCGAGTGTGCACACGTACCTTGGGACAGTCCGCCGCGGCTCCGTTGCACGTGGCCTCGCCCTCGCAGGCGAGTGTGCACACGTACCTTGGGACAGTCCGCCGCGGCTCCGTTGCACGTGGCCTCGCCCTCGCAGGCGAGTGTGCACACGTACCTTGGGACAGTCCGCCGCGGCTCCGTTGCACGTGGCCTCGCCCTCGCAGGCGAGTGTGCACACGTACCTTGGGACAGTCCGCCGCGGCTCCGTTGCACGTGGCCTCGCCCTCGCAGGCGAGTGTGCACACGTACCTTGGGACAGTCCGCCGCGGCTCCGTTGCACGTGGCCTCGCCCTCGCAGGCGAGTGTGCACACGTACCTTGGGACAGTCCGCCGCGGCTCCGTTGCACGTGGCCTCGCCCTCGCAGGCGAGTGTGCACACGTACCTTGGGACAGTCCGCCGCGGCTCCGTTGCACGTGGCCTCGCCCTCGCAGGCGAGTGTGCACACGTACCTTGGGACAGTCCGCCGCGGCTCCGTTGCACGTGGCCTCGCCCTCGCAGGCGAGTGTGCACACGTACCTTGGGACAGTCCGCCGCGGCTCCGTTGCACGTGGCCTCGCCCTCGCAGGCGAGTGTGCACACGTACCTTGGGACAGTCCGCCGCGGCTCCGTTGCACGTGGCCTCGCCCTCGCAGGCGAGTGTGCACACGTACCTTGGGACAGTCCGCCGCGGCTCCGTTGCACGTGGCCTCGCCCTCGCAGGCGAGTGTGCACACGTACCTTGGGACAGTCCGCCGCGGCTCCGTTGCACGTGGCCTCGCCCTCGCAGGCGAGTGTGCACACGTACCTTGGGACAGTCCGCCGCGGCTCCGTTGCACGTGGCCTCGCCCTCGCAGGCGAGTGTGCACACGTACCTTGGGACAGTCCGCCGCGGCTCCGTTGCACGTGGCCTCGCCCTCGCAGGCGAGTGTGCACACGTACCTTGGGACAGTCCGCCGCGGCTCCGTTGCACGTGGCCTCGCCCTCGCAGGCGAGTGTGCACACGTACCTTGGGACAGTCCGCCGCGGCTCCGTTGCACGTGGCCTCGCCCTCGCAGGCGAGTGTGCACACGTACCTTGGGACAGTCCGCCGCGGCTCCGTTGCACGTGGCCTCGCCCTCGCAGGCGGAGTGCGCGGGCTCGCGGCACACGACGCCCGCCGCCGCGAACACGCAGCCCGCGCAGCACGGCGAGTTCTTGTCGCTGCACACACACAACGTACCAGAATGTACACCCTCACTTGAGAGGACCTTATAGTACTTCAGAATACAAACCTATAATGCATCGGCAAACATCGAACATAATCGTATTTATACATTACATAAAACGACTGACGAAAGTAATTTGATTCTGAACTTTGACTAAGTGGCTCCTTGAGCGCTCTTTATATTCCGTAAAAGATTTTCTTGCATATAAAATAGATTAGGTTCAAAAGTATAACCTTAATAGTCACACTCTGCAGACGATTAAAAAACCGTCACATTAAAACAGCACGCCTGATGGTAAGTGGCTACTGCAGTACATGGACACCTTTTTTATAGAATAAGGGTAACAAACGAGCACATAGCAACTGATCGTAAATGAACGCTGTGGAAGACATGTACATTTTACCTCGATTAAGAATCGAAATACAGATACGTTTTGTCACCCCTGGGAAGGATATAAGACGTAACAAGTAAAATGGATTGCCTCGTTTGCAGTAAAATAGGTAACGGATTCTCTACACTTACCATACGAAACAGCAACATTAAGCTACTATTTTACAATGGTATTCTAAGAGCGTGGTCTTTCTCCAGTCCAGTCGACCTATTCGTGCTATAACCATAATATAGCTGCAGCTACAGCTACAGATATGTTGCGGGGGGATCGTATGAAATACCTCACAGTCTACAGACTTACAACTGGCCATAAGACCGCACACAGCAGTTCACACACTGGCGCTTGGCGACTCTTAAGATACCAGAATGCAGAAAAGGAATCTCACCAATATACTGTGGATTTATACAGACTAAAGAAGAAGAATGTGAGCTTTAGTTACCTGCAAACTGCACCTTGATTCTTTCTAAGTTTACAATTCTTGTCACAACACATGTCATTATCCTCCGTACCTGTTGGTGATATACACGTATTATCGTTTTTTTTTTTATAAGATAGGGTGACACACGAGCACACAGTCCACCTGATGGTAAGTGGTTGCTGTGGCCCATAGACATCTGCATCTATCTTCGTTTGCGAATTAAAATGCAGATGCGTTGTCAGCCGTGAGGACTAAGATAGAATGCCTCTTTTCCAGTAATAATATATATTTTCATTTGTATGTGAAAACTATTACAGCAGAGTTCAATGCCCACAACCACCAAATATAATCGATTACAATAGAGAAGTTGCATGATTTTTAATATTATTTTTTTGAAATTTTACTAAAAATTATTAAGAAAATTAAAAAAAAACAATTGATTTTTCATGTAATTTTACGATTAAAAATGGTTTTCCTAAAATGTAAATTCAAACGCCAGTAATGTCATTATATCGTTTTATTAACGCCACCGCATGGTGAAATAATAAAGCGTCTCCCACACACAAGCGGCTTGCGGTGGCGGTAAACCACGAGCCGCGGCTCCAGCTTCTGTATAACACACCACAGCGGTCACAGTGGCGACCTGAAGCATCATTCGCTGTGGTGTCTGACGGTCGGACGTCAGTCAACATGGCTAACCGTAGCGAAATCTTTTTATTTTTATTATATTCAGTAAAATTATCGCATATTTTGTTCGTTAGCAAAGCCTCCATAGAAGCCGAGAAGGCAGGCTTGCCCTATCAAACTGCTCAATCAATAATATCAACTAATAAAATAACTCGTAAACTGTTTCAAACTATTTCAAATTTCCCGCGCACTCCTCTGTTCTACACAGGTCATGACCGCGTAGCCTTATTATGTAACGTCAACACTTGCCAGATTGCTTTCAATTCGAAATACTCTGTTTCGTGTTCTCTCTGTCTCAAAGCGAACATGCAATGGACTCCGGTCGCGGCAAAACTGCGCGATACTGCTGTCATAAAAAAGGAGTTGAGTTGAGCGATTGTTGAAGCCCACGCATGCGAGTCGTCTCTGTCGCATACGTGGGCTTTTTACCGAGCTTTCGAGAAGAAGATCGCTCCCTTTATAACCTGTGGCAAAATGTTCTATAATGAAATATAGCTACGATTGTTTACATAGCAAATAGTATGGAGCGATAAGCTGCGATTTCGGTGTGAAGTTAGTCAAGCGTGGGGGCGCGCGTGCGATACGTTTGCAAGTTCACTTCAGATTTCAATGTTTACTCTGTGTGTTTACTTGAGCGAATGAATATTGCGAATTGACAATTTAAGCTTTTTTAATTTTTTTTTTGTGAAAATGGAGGTTAATAGTGTTTTTTGTGATGACTTGAAGTGTGTTAAAGTGCAAATCGGCGAGGAAAAGGTAAAATCTTTAAACTTAGTTGAGAAAAAACAGCTCATATCCACGCCGAAACCAACGCCTGATCTGTGTATTTCTCTGACGAGTAAAACCCACAAACGGCAATTTAATAGATCTGTTTACAAAACTCATTGGATTGTTTTCTGCTAACATACCAATAAGTTGTACTGTTGGTGCTGCATATTCTTTTCCAACGACAAAACAGCTTGGAATACTACTGGATATGATGATTTAAATAACTTATATGGAGCCAATAAAAGGCATATGAATTCTCAAAAACACATGAATGCGGTAATTTCGTTAAGTAATTTTGGAAAAAATCGGATTGAAACATATTTATCGCGCCAGTTATCCGAGGAAATTACAAAACACAACATGCGTGTTGATCACAACCGTAGTGTTTTTCAAAGATTAGTCGATATTGTTTTCCATTTAGCACAACAAGAGCTTCCTTTCAGAGGTCACGATGAGTCGAAAACTTCATTAAATAGAGGCAATTTTTTAGAACTTGTATCGCTTCTTTCGAAGTACGATTTCGTGTTAGAAAAGTATATGCAGCATCAACAAAGCGACAAACGGCAGAGTTACTTATCTAGTACAATCCAAAATGACATTATTCATTCTGTCGCTGATGTAATGAAAATTATTATTATTGACGAAACTCCCGATGTTAGTCACAGAGAGCAATTGTGTCTGATTCTCCGATATTATTATGAAAACGATATTCATGACCGTTTTTTGGGGTATGTAGATGTGTCTGAAAGTCGCACAGCAGACACACTTTGTAATATCATATTGGAATTCTTAAACAAACATGACTGCACCCCAAAACTAGTTGCGCCAAGCTATGACGATGCAAGTGTCATGTCCGGTGTCAGAAATGGAGTGCAACAAAAATATAAAGATGTTTGTCCCCAAGCCTAGCAGTATATTTGGTGTAATGCACACATTTTGGCATTAGTTTTATCTAAATCTTGTAACAGGATTAGGGAAGTCAGCACTTTTTTCAGCCCTTCAGGCTTTATTTAATTTTTTTAATAACAGCACAAAACGGTCGTCTTTTTATGATGCACATTGCAGCAAAAAATTGCCTAACGGGTGCAACTCGTTGGACGTATACGTCACGAATTGTGAATACAGTATTCGAACAAAAAGATAATCTGATTAATTTGTTTTCGGATATGTGCGACAACCCGCAGAACTGGGACGGCGATACGATCTTGGCCGCCGATAATTTTGAAAACATATTGCGTTAATTTAATTTAAATTTTTTTCTTTCAATTTTCCACCGGGTATTTGAAAAAACCGACTGCTTGTACAATATTTTAAAAAAATCACAAGTTGATGTCGGTTATTGCAGTAATAAAATAAAGGAGTTTCAGCCATGGTTACGTACTGAATTTCAGTCAGATTTTGATCACATTTATGAAAACAAAACATATTACAAAATATCTCTGCTTTTCGTTTGAGACACAACGTGCGCTGTGCTCTGACAGAATACAAACGACTTTTAATTGAAATAAATTGATAACATATCTTCAGAAATTAATTAACGATATTCTGAAATTTTTAAATTAAATTTTTCCAGTTGTTCAACTACAAACTATTCGAAAAATATCGTTCATATTTTCCTATAGAGGCATTAGATTCATTATTTTAAAATTACGCAAATCATTTTGATAAACAAACATTGAAAAACCAATTACTTGCATTGTATTCCTCCCTTGAATTAAAAGACCACAATGTTTTTGAACTCATTGACTTTATAAACGAAAATAGTCTTGAAGAGGCCTTTCCTCAGCTTTTAAAGTTAGCTCATCTTGTCGTAACTATTCCAGTCGCAAGTTCATCCGCGGAACGTGCTTTCTCATCTCTGAAGCGCATCCATACTTATTTGAGAAATACACAAGGTTAAGAGCGTCTTTCAGACTTAGCAATTATTGCAATTGAAAAACAGTTGTTGGTACAATTAAAACGTTCACCAACTTTTTACGCGGACACAATCAAATCTTTCCTTAAGAAGGAGAGACGTTTCGATTTAGAATATAAATATATATATTTTTTAATTTTGTACATAGTTTGTTTGTACTTTGTTCATGCTTTTCTTTTGTTCATGTATTGTATTCTATGTAAATATCTTTTTCTTTCGCTCAAGCCCAAACGGCTTTTTTCAAAGCCACCGAAGGTATGCAATTGCTGATATGTCATACAATCTATCTAGCAGTAGTATGCCTTCTGTGTCCTTTGTTAAACACGTCCTCGACAGCACCGAATATGAAACTGAAGAGTGGAGAGAGATCAAGATTGGTGTATTTTTATAAAACTGCTAAAAACAACAAAACCATATCTTGGGCTTGCCCTAGTTTGGAGCCCTAGCTTTGCCACTGATTTTGTTTAAATCCTAATGCTTTTGTAATCACGGTGTTAAATATCATAAAGAATGGATAATTTTGCACTATTTCCCTGTATTTAGCGCCATTTTTCACGCGGTACACGTGGCCTGTTGTAAAAATTTGCAAGTGATCGCGCTGCAGCTACGGCCAGCCGCTGGCAGGCCGCGACATGGCCGCACGGGTTTGCACTCACTTACATTGCAAGCGAATACAACTGGCCGCCACCGCAAGCCGCTTCTGTGTGGGAGACGCTTATAACACTCATGTTTACGTTGTCAAAATAAAATGGCATTGCATAATACAGGTTATACATGTTTTATGACACATGTTGATCCGAATATAGAAAATACAAAAGTATAGGATGACTGCGATTGACTCACAGCCTCAACATATAGAATGACGTCACAATCAATCACAACTAGTTTTCATTCAAAAATTTTACTATTTTTTATTAATAATTGCTAAAAAACATGGAATTGTTAATAAAAAAATACTCAAATATACTTTAAATGAATTATTCTTTAATTTATATATAAATTTGTGACCAAAAAATTAATGCAACTATTTTATTATGTACACGTGGCACACCATGCCACGTGTTTATCGGTAAAGGTAAACGCCGCGCTGTGAGAAAACCCGCATGTGGTACCCCTCGAGCGGATCTATTCGTGCCACAACTACGCAGCATTGCTTTATCATCTATTGAACGCTTTATTTCATAACGGTAACGCAGGGAGTGCTAAGTATCCGCTGAAAGTTCGCACACACACATAGAGAATTTACGAGAGAAAACCTTGGAACTGGAAAATTACATTTATTCTGTTATTTTTGTTATTATAGAATTATTTTGTTGTGTCATTGTATTCTATAAAACTGCTTTAAAGATTTTGATTAAAATTCTAGTTTTGAGGTTGTTTAAAAAGATCGTAAATAAATCTGTACTTTTTTGTCTTTGTGACAGCACGCTTTTATAAATGGAAATACATGTTTTTTTTTATAGGATAAGGGTGACAAACGAGCACACAGTCCACCTTATGGTAAGTGGTTGCTGTGGCCCATAGACATCTACATTTATACGAATCAAAATGCAGATGCGATGTCACCCGTGAGGACTAAGATGGAATGCCTCGTTTCCAGTAAAAAGGGTCACCGGTTCTCTACACTCACCATACGAAACACAGCAGCATTAAGCTGTTATTTTACGCTGGTATTGTGAGAGCGTGGTCCTTCCCCGGTCGAGCCGACCCATTCGTGTTACAACTATGCCCGAAATATAGCTGCAGCATGGCTCTACCACGTATAATGTTATTGATAGGCCGTTGTTTGCTTTATACTGAGCTTACCAAGAAGCCCGGCATCGCACTCCTCGCCGCCTTCAACTCGCAAATTCCCGCAGAAGCTTTCCTCCGGCTCGGAGAAACATCGCCCAGATTTCGCTTGCAGCACTTTTCTAATAGACCTCAGACTGCATGGTGAGAACCTCTGAAAATAAAAAGAAAGAAATGAAATGTTTTTGTTTGCTATTTTTAATTTTTACACGTTCTTTTGTTTTTCCTGATCCTTTTTTTCATCCGCGACTTAATAGCCACCAGGACGGCGTCACATAGGAATGAGGTGAAATATTTAACAGATTACATTGCGTTGAAGGTTATTTTATGAGGAAAATATATATAGGTTAGTTTCTTTCTGTAATATCAGTTATTTTATATTAATTAGATTAGAACTGCATAAATCAAATTACTGATATTTCGAAAAGTAGAAAATTAAAATAAAAGTCGAAAAAATGTCAAAAATATTAAGGGGCAAACCACAGAGCCGTTATTTTGTGTATTTGTAAACTACTCTAGAAACTGATAAACTTTTATTTAAAACTTAACTTCTAGACTATACGTTACTGTATTGCCTCCTCTACACTACTCGCGAAGTAACTTCGACGAAGTGTTCGTCAAAGTCGATCGCAGTCCGAAGAACGTGACTACACACTCGTGCTACTTCGCGAAGAGCTCAGTCATCTTGAGTCTCCCGCAACGTTAACATGTATAACGTTCAAGAGACAGCTGCTATAGGTACCTAACTGTGTGAATAGTACGACGTCAATGCGTTAATCATAGATAAATAATTATGTAGAAAGCTACATATTTAATATTTGTTCAGTAATAAACCGCAACTCACAAAATTTATACCGAGGCACAATGATCTGCTACGATCGGAGCGCCGGTCACACCTAGTGGCAACATTGCGACGTAATATGCGTTGTAATAATCTGTGAAGTTAAAAAAAAGAGAAGAGGAGGGTAGGAGGCGAGACAAGCCATACACATTCTCTTTGTGTTCGTGATGTGAACATCTCTCCAAAAACTTTAAAAAGGGACTACTCCAGAGTGTACCGTGTACAATCTAATTGCTAGTGTATTCTACCGTGTAGAAGAAGCTACCAGGAGCTGTCAACGTTTGCTGATCTTGGGAGGCTGGCTAGTAAGACCGTGAGTAGTTTGTTGCTGTTTTTTGGTGTGATTTTGTGACTGCGGTAACTGAACGTTTCAGGGGATTTAGATTCTCAATACAGTCCACTATATCTAGTAAAATAATCCCAATCCGCCACATTTCTGGCCTTCGAGCCGCATATATTCGAATTAGTGATCTTCGAATAATAATTTTCTACCCTTAATTCGCGTCCCGTGGACGTCATATATTTGAGTAAAACTACGCATTTAATTAATTTAATATCCCTTATTTAATTTGCCTCTTTTTTACCTGGATGTCCCTTGCTCGCGGTGCGTTTATAAAGTATTAATTTTGTAATTTGTTCATAATGTCGGATAAATTACAAATAAAAAGGCAAACACTTATTTTTAAAAAGGAATACCTATTTGCTAAATTACAAAAGGTTTTCGATATCGCGAGATCCCAAATAAATGATCCCACACAAATTCAGAATTTCTTAGCCGATTATTCCGAATTAGAAAGTGTCCGCTCAAAGTTTGAAGAAACAGTGTTAAATATTATTGAAATAGATATATCATTAAAACCGGAGACAAGATTATCAACGCGAGAATTAGATACATTTGATGAACTTTATAAAGTATGTAGGTTGCAATATTTAAGATTAAAACCGGACGAGCAGGCATCCCTCAGTAGGAAAGATAGGAGTGATGTAAGGCCGTCATTACCTAAATTACGTTTATTTGACTTCGATGGTGATATTGAGAAGTGGACCACATTCTACGATACATTTGTATCACTTGTCCACAATCGAGATTTCGATGAAATAGATAAGTTTCACTATTTGCTTTCATGTGTTAAAGGTTCGGCATTAAACATTGTTAAAAAATTGCCCATAACAGCCGCTAATTATACTGTCGTATGGCAAAGTTTATGTAATAAATATCAAGATGATCGAATACTCGTGGGTAGGTACATCGACAAAATGATAAACTTTACGCCGTTAAATAAAGATACTACCGCAAATCTTACTTTATTTATCGAAACATTCGATCACTCTTTTAAAGCCATCGAGGCATTAAAAATTAAAAATTTACATGACTATTTATTTTGTCATTTAGCCTTACGTGGGTTGGATGCGCATACTAGGAGGCTTTTTGAAGAAAATCGGGATCAAAATTCACTTCCATCTTTTTCGGAATTAATTAGTTTTGTAAATAAACAAGTTAAAGTACTCGAACATTCATCGAATAGTACGATGTCGTTACAATCAAGAAATAAGTCTATATGTAACAATTACAAAGGCAACAATAATAACCACTACAAAAGTTATTCAAAGACAGTTTTAAATACTAATGTGTCAAATTATAATAAAAATAAAAAAATAATTTGCGCGCATTGCAATCAAAATCACATGATTTATAGGTGCGATCAATTTCGTAAATTGACCGTAGATAAAAGGATTGACCGTGTCAATACCTTAAAATTGTGTCATAATTGCCTAAAAGGAAATCATGATACCTCAACTTGTAAAAGTGAGATGTCTTGTGGTGTATGTGCGTCACTACATCATTATCTATTGCATAGGGAGCCAGTGAGCGACACGCTCGTGCCAACATCCACCCGTCCATTGTGCTCTGACTCGCAAGTGCAACAAGCACTCGTCTCGTCTCAGGCTATGAGTGACTCAGAGCGTTATACGATAGATACGCTTCATTCCAATAACGCTCACTCGGGTTACGGTGTTGTATTGGGAACGGCGCGCGTGTTAGTAATTGATAGTAGCGGCCAGCTTCAATACTGCCGTGCAGTTATTGACTCTGGAGCTCAGAGCTCATTTATTACAACTGAGTGTGCTCAACGTTTGGGCTTACCTCGAAAGAAGTGTTCGTTTAATATTTATGGTCTCGGTGGAGAGGCTGTAAAAAATCACGGCATGATTACATGCACATTAAGGTCCCTACACACTGACCTACCTAGTTTTACACTGAACATGGTCGTAGTGACTAAGGTATCTGCTGATATGCCTAACGTTCGATTCCACTCGGACGTTATTAATAAATATAAGAATTTTAATTTAGCTGATCCATTATTTTATAAGCGTTCGCGTATCGATATACTATTGGGCAATGATATAGTTTCGGAACTTATTAAGGATAAACCTTATATTATTTCATCGGATATACCAAGCGTGATCGATACCGCTTTCGGGTTTGTTGTAAGTGGTAAACTTTATAGCAATGATAAGGACAATTTAAAAAATTATAATTTATCAGTCTCATTTGATGAACAAGAGTCTTTAGATCAAACGTTGCGTAAGTTTTGGGAAATCGAAGAATTGCCAAGCAAACCCTCGATTAATCCTTTGGAACAATTAGCGGAAGACATTTTCGTGGCTCGTTATAGTCGTACTGAGGATGGTACCTATTCAGTGCCGTTACCATTCATACCAGACCCGCCTCCGTTGGGCGCGTCACGAGCGGCAGCCGAGCGGCGACTCTTGTTCACCGAGCGCAAGTTGAATCGTTCACCTGTATTACGACAAGCCTATTCAGAGTTCATGTGCGAATATGAAAATCTAGGGCACATGGAGCTTTATTCGGGGGACACCCCAAGCAAATATGTGATACCTCATCACAGTATACTTAAGCCCAGTAGTTCCACTACTCCGTTGCGTGTGGTATTCGATGCCTCGGCTAAAACGTCCACGAACGTTTCGCTTAATGATATTCTATTGACCGGGCCTAATCTGTATCGAGATATTGGGGCTATAATATTGAATTTTAGGTTGTTTGAATATTGTTTGATTTGTGACGTATGCAAAATGTATCGGGCAATTAAACTGAATCAGTCAGATAGATGTTATCAACATATTTTGTATCGTCATTCGCCTAACGATGCCATTGACGTTTATGAATTAAAAACTGTCACTTACGGCTTAAGTTGCTCACCGTTCTTAGCTATCCGCACCCTCTTACAGTTAGCCTATGACGAGGAAGAACGTTTCCCACTCGCTGCAAAGGTTGTGCGCGAGGGCGTGTACATGGATGACATTCTATATTCTTGTAGTTCATTGTCACAGATATCTCGGTTACAAGATGAACTTTTAGAGATGTTTAATTCCGGTGGCTTTATACTCAAAAGGTGGGCGAGTAATAGTGCAAAAGTTTTACAACGCGTTCCGTTAGAAAACCGAGAGTGTCCTGTTACATTTATGAAAGATGGTAACGAATATTCAGTCAAAGTGCTAGGTCTGAAATGGTTCCCTTTGACTGACTGTTTTTATTTCACAGTAGATAAGACTGATAAAGTAACAACTAAACGTTCTGTTTTAAAATTATTAGCTTCTATTTACGACCCCGTGGGTTTTATTTCACCGTGCATTTTCATCGCGAAAGAGATAATGCAAGATTTATGGAAGCTGGGCATAGGATGGGATGAGCAGCTGCCAACTGACGTAACTAAGCGCTGGCTTAATTACGTTGATGATCTCCCGCGACTAACGGCAATCAAGATAGATAGACATATGCTGCTACCAGAACAGACCGAATGTGAATTGGTCGCCTTTTGCGATGCAAGCTCTCGCGGTTATGCTAGTTGTGTGTATGTGATCAGTCGTAACGATAGAGGTCAAACTAAAGTACGCCTGGTGACAGCAAAATCTAAAGTAGCCCCCGTCAAACCATTAACTATCCCGAGGTTGGAATTAATGGCGTCAGTTTTGTTAAGCAAATTAATTAGATATGTCCGTGACATTTTAACTCGTGTAAAAATTACTCGTATTACTGCGTTAACCGATTCGACTATCGTGTTGACGTGGCTTCAGACAGAAGCTTACAAATTAAAGCCGTTTGTTAGTAACCGTGTTACTCAGGTATGTGAAGTGTTACCTCCACACTGTTGGCGTCACGTGAGTAGTGAGTGCAATATGGCAGACATATGCTCGCGCGGAGCGTCTCCGTCACAGCTCGTGGAGTGCAGTGAGCAGTGGTTGAAGGGCCCATCTTGGTTGTACGACGACTATTCGCAGTGGCCAGTGAGAACATTTATCAACCAACATGAAAGTAATACACCCGAAATGAAATCAAATCATACATTAGGCTCCTTCAATTTAATCACAAATGAAAATAATTCGATAGAGGAGACTAAGTTAGAGTTCTGTGACCGAATCTTTTCCAATTTCTCTTCTTATTATAAACTGCAACGTACGTTTGCTCGAATATTGAGATGGTTCCGACTCAAATCCGGTCACTCGAAGCAATCAATACTGACGACTAACGAATTAAATACTGCCCAAGATGTTTTAATTAAATTAGTACAAAGTGCATACTTCGCAAATGAAATAAATAGATTGTCAAAGGGCACAAAGTACGTTCCGTCGTTGAGAAAATTATCTCCATTTATTGACGAACGCGGATACCTCAGGGTGGGGGGTCGAATAAATTATTCAGCGTTACCTTATAACGCGAAGCATCCTCGTTTATTACCTAAAAATAGTAGATTTACCTTTTTACTTATTGAATATTTACATAAAAAATATTTACACGTAGGTCCACGCACCTTACAAAACATTATTAATCAAAATTTTTGGATTTTAGCATCCCGTCGCATTATTCGGTCAGTTTTGTCCAAATGCAAAATTTGTTTTAAACACAACCCAGTGCTCTTACAGCCTGAGATGGCACCTTTGCCAGCAGCCCGATTGATACCTTGTAATGTTTTTGAGCATGTAGGGGTGGACCTCGGTGGTCCGTTCTTTACAAAAGAAAGTTTACGACGAAATGCTAGGGTTGAACGGTCATATTTAGCATTATTTATTTGTTATTCGACAAAAGCTGTACACCTTGAAGTCTTATCGTCGTTGTCATCGGACTGTTTCCTCGCGTGTTTAGACAGCTTTGTAGCGCGACGCGGTGTGTGCTCCTTCCTTTATTCGGATTGCGGAACTAATTTCATAGCTGCTAGTAAGCATTTAACCGAAGTACAAAGATTTATGCTCGAACAAAAAAACAATATATTAGAGGGTTGCTCAAAACGACAAATTATATGGAGATTTAATCCCCCTGGTGCACCACATATGGGTGGGCTCTGGGAAGCTGGAATTAAATCCGCCAAGTATCTATTAACGCGAGCCGTAGGAGAAAAAAGTTTGACGTTCGAGGAACTCACAACAGTGTTTTGTAAAGTAGAAGCGATTCTCAACTCGCGGCCGCTTTGTCCGTTACCAGCTAGTGATAATCCTGATGAGTTCAACGTTTTGACTGCGGGACACTTTCTAATTGGAAAAGGGTTAACAGCAGTACCTGAGTATAATGTAGAGGATATAACAATAAATCGATTATCACGTTGGCAATATATTCAAAAATGTTCACAAATGTTTTGGCGTAGATGGAGTCACGAATATCTAAATACGCTGCAACAGAAAGCAAAGTGGCATTCGGATAGATCTAATATAAAAATAGGTGATCTCGTAATCATAAAAACTGATAATGTACCGCCGTGCAATTGGCCTTTGGGTAGAATTGAGGCTCTTCACCCCGGTCCAGATGGGATTGTTCGTTGTGTTACGCTTCGCACTCAAAAGAGTACTCTACAGAGACCAGTTAATAAACTGAGTCCTCTACCTTATTCAAATTAGTTTTTACGTGTATTAATATTTTTTTTTCTCGTTGAGGACATTCTGTGTCTCAGCGTTATTTTGCATGTTCCGTAGCTTAAGTTATAATATTTTCTTTAATATCTTTTTCATATAGTTAGGAGAAACCATCAAGATGGTTTCGGTGGGGGGTGTGTTCAGTAATAAACCGCAACTCACAAAATTTATACCGAGGCACAATGATCTGCTACGATCGGAGCGCCGGTCACACCTAGTGGCAACATTGCGACGTAATATGCGTTGTAATAATCTGTGAAGTTAAAAAAAAGAGAAGAGGAGGGTAGGAGGCGAGACAAGCCATACACATTCTCTTTGTGTTCGTGATGTGAACATCTCTCCAAAAACTTTAAAAAGGGACTACTCCAGAGTGTACCGTGTACAATCTAATTGCTAGTGTATTCTACCGTGTAGAAGAAGCTACCAGGAGCTGTCAACGTTTGCTGATCTTGGGAGGCTGGCTAGTAAGACCGTGAGTAGTTTGTTGCTGTTTTTTGGTGTGATTTTGTGACTGCGGTAACTGAACGTTTCAGGGGATTTAGATTCTCAATACAGTCCACTATATCTAGTAAAATAATCCCAATCCGCCACAATATTTATATATAAAAAAAAGTATTCATAGCTGGCGTACGCCGAGTAGTGTAGTGGGACGCTTCGTGTAACTTCTGGGTACTTCGCGAAGTCCTTTGACTGTGGCGCAAAAAACCGACAGCGATCTGAAGTCGCCGAGGCGAAGCGAGGTTGCACGAAGCGAATCGAAGTACCTCTCTACACTATTCGTCTCGTCCAATTTCGATCTACTTCACAAGTAGTGTAGAGGCATATAACAAAAAAAGCAGTCCCAACTAGCAACATGTGGTAACGTGACGTACCTTATTGTTGACGTCGTACCCGCTGACGCTGTACGTGTACATGAGGTAGGAGCCGCCCTGGCTGGCCGTGGGCGAGCACTCGGCCACGTCCGGGTCGTGCTCCGAGCCCCAGTTGTGGCCGAACTCGTGCGCCGTCACCAAATCCGCTTCGCGAGTTATCACACGCTGCCCGTAGTGGTTGCGAGACGAACTCAGCCCAGAGTTCAGGTATAGTGTGTAGCCGTTCTTGAAATACTCTGTCGAGGTACGGTTGATGTCAAAGTATGTGTGAGTGTGCGTGTGGTTTTGCTATGGCGTGTTTACATTTCGATAACCAATGAAATAGTATGTATGTGTTATTTTGGTCTACTAGGACCACGAGAAGATTTCAAAATTTTAACGGAAGCTACTGAAAGCTTAGAAGAAAACCCCTCATCCTCTAATTGAGACCTTAAGATGCACGGTGGTAGAGGTATATACACTGTATACGATACGATACACGAATACATTTGTTAATAACTAAATGTACAAATATATTCGCTAAAACAATACTTTTCTGGAATTCAGGTTCCAGAAAAGTATTGTCTCAGCGAATGAATTTTGTAAACATATTCGTTCAAATTTGGTAACTAAATTTACTTTTAAAACTTCATCAAAAACGTTCTTAAAAAAGCATTGCAATACAAACGATGCATCCAGCATTTCCATAAGCCCTTTCAAGTACGCGCCAACTGGCGCGTACTTGAAAGGGCATACATAACTTGAAGAATTTGCCATGTAGAATACCGAAAAATTTGAAATGTATCGAAAACATTCTTTGTTGTTTTTTTTTTAAACTGAAGTGATAAACGAGTTTACAATCTACCTCTTAGTAAGGGGCTACTGCAACCTGTGTACACCTGCAAGTTGATAAAAGTCATAATAAAAGTCGTCGCCGCCAATCCAATGTCATGGATAGTAAAATGTTTTAATTTAATTCAATTGAACAAATGGTTGGTAAAAATTTCATTCAATTAAATCATCTTGTTATTCAATCATAAATATTTAATGTAAACGCACCATAGCTGGACGTTATATTATATGTATAATTTACTGAAGCATAGAAATACATAATAGAATATAATATTACATAATGTTAGCATAAGAATAATAAAGGTAAGTACCAACTTCCTTATAGCTTAGTAAAAAGCGGGATGCGGGAAGTAAAGACTGTGTAAGAACCTCCGAAGGAGACGGAGTTATAGCCGAAATAAGAATTTAATTTTTTTTTTGTTTTTGGTATGGAGTGTAGTGTAGTCTACTCTACACTCCATAGTTTTTGGCCATTTCGACCTCCTAGGAGTGTAATGAGAAGTTTTTGCCCCTATTCGACCATGACCCCATGACACTACATGATAGGCTATTCAAACTGACTATGCCTAAAGTTCGAGCAGCCCCCCAATTTTTTGGTATTTGGCCGTTTTGACCCCCTAAGAGTGTAATGAGAACTTTTTGCCCCTATTAAACCATGACCCGCACGACATCCTCTACATGATAGGCTATTCAAACTGACTATGCCTAAAGTTCGAGCCACCCCCCCCCCCGCAATTATATGGTTTTTTGGCCGTTTTGACCCCCTAGGAGTGTAATGAGAACTTTTTACCCCTATCAAACCATGACCCCCTTGACATCCACTACATGATAGGCTATTCAAACTGACTAGGCCTAAAGTTCGAGTCACCCCCCCAACTCATTTCTAGTCTTTACTTCCAATTACTTCCAATAAATATTAAATATATATAAGTAAGAATATAAATATATGCATATCAGACAAAATGCTGAGAAGTCACCCAAAGTGCAATTTAAACATTACATATAAATTTTTAGGTTACTGGTTAAATTGTTTATCGTTCTGAATAACAGAGAGAGAAATTAACATTTAAAATATTAACCTTAACCACTAGTGTTTTATTTGTTACTTAACTTTTATATAGAATAAAAATTACAGAGAGTACACATAGTAATTGGGCGCTGTGGCCCATATACATCATCTACGTTTATCATCAAATAATTAAAACGCAGAAGCGCTATCACTCCTGAGGACTGAAATGAAATGTCTCGTTTCCAGTTAAATGATCTCCGGCTCTCCACACTCACCATACGAAACACAGTAGAATTAAGCTGATATTTTACGCTAGTATTCTGTGAGAGCATGGTCCTTCCTCGGTCGAGCCGACCCAATCGTGCTACCACGTATTTAAACACTTACTTGTTATAATTAAATAAAAATAAAGATACCATAAAAATTCACATTATTTCACCGAATATTAAAAAGCATCGCATGTCTATGTTGTGCAGTATACATCATCATCATTACAGCCTTTCATAAGTCCACTGCTGAACATAGGCCTCCCCCAAGGAATGCCACAAAGCACGGTCCTGAGCCACCTGCATCCATCGACTTCCTGCATGTCTTACCAGGTCGTCACTCCATCTCGTGGGGGATCGCCCTACACTTCGCCTACCGGTACGAGGCTGCCACTCGAGAACCTTTCTTCCAACCGCCCAAATTTCGTCGGAATCAAAGGCTTTCTCATAGTCCTCATACGCCAGACATAGTGGCAAATTGTACTCCTCGGACTTCTGTACTACTTGCCGAAGGGTATGTATGTGGTCTATGGTGCTAAAGCCCTTTCGGAAACCGGCTTGTTCGGGAGGCTGGAAGTCATCAAGTCTGGGCGCGAGACGATTCGTAATGACTCTCGAAAACAGCACGTAGACGCGGGTCAGAAGGGAAATCGGTCTGTAGTTCTTCAAGCGAGCGTTGTCACCTTTCTTGAAGAACAAGACCACCGCACTTCTGCTCCACGCCTCCGGTGTTATGCCACCATGGAAGACGGAATTAAAGAGCTTCTGAAGGACTTCAAGTACCGGTTTTCCATCCGCTTTCAAAAGCTCCGCTGTAATTCCATCCTCGCCAGGGGCCTTGCCGTTTTTAAGGTGCTGGAGAGCCATTCTAATCTCGCTCAGACTGACATCCGGGATATCTTCGGAATAGTGTCGGATAAGACTCGCTCTTGGATCGTTACTCACACTTGCGTGTGGCTCCAACGATGACGTGTACAGCTGCCCATAAAACCTCTCAATCTCACTCAAAATCTCAGGTGCCCCGGAAACGATGCTACCACACTCGGTCTTCAGCTTTGACAGTTGGTAGACAGATCTCTGGCAAAAACTTTAGAGCCTTGGTTCCGCTGGATCGCTTCTTCAATACAAGCTGTATTGAAGTTGCGTAAGTCCCGCCGCATGCATTTGGAGATCTGTCTGTTCAGTTGCCTGTATGCTGTCAAATCTGTTGAAGAATGTAGCTTCATCTCCCGTCTAACAGCCAGGAGATTAAGAGTGTGATCGGAGAGTTTTTGTGTTCTTCTGCGGCGGGTCTTGCAGAACTTAGCTCCGACCGCATGGACAGTTTCCAGGAGCTTGTCATTCATATCGTCCACTTCATTGCAGTATTCTATGCACTGAAAACGGTTTTGTAACTCGAGCTGAAAGGTTTCGGGACTTTGGAACAGAGCACGAGGGGGACGGCGCTTTGACTTCATTAGACGAGACCTCTCCAACTTAACGTTTAGGTTCAGTGTGCCTCTAACCATTCAGTGATCGCTACCAGTTTTCATCCTCGCGATCACGGAGACATCACTGAACAGTTGTCGTCTGGTCGTCATAATGAAGTCAATCTCATTTTTTGTCGAACCGTCGGGGCTAGACCAGGTCCACTTTCTGTGAGGTCGCTTCTGGAAGAAAGAGTTCATCATAAAGAGTCCCTCTTTCTCCATGAAGTCGGCCAGCTGCTGGCCCCTTGGGTTAATATTTACATTATCTTAAATAATTCAGTAGTTTACGAGAACAGAACATATACATAATTCATAAGAAAATACTTGCCATTGTATTTCTGAAATATTGCCATAGAAAAGTAGAAAAAATAAAAATATCAAGGAAAAATGGAAGGCCCAAATATATTAAGTTTATTTTTAAATTGCATTAGGGTGACTTCATAATGACAGTGAACACAAATTATAAAATAATATCTAGTATATAAAGCAAACGAAAACAACATAAGACACTCACATTTCGCAGCGAAATGGCTGAAATAAAAACAAAAATAAAGTAAATAATCAAAATAAATAGTCACTAGTAAAAGCAAAACAACATCTTATTACATAACATTAAGTAAAAAATTTCTTGAAAACAATCATTTTTTGATAACATAACATTAAAGTAAATTACAAATACAGTGACGCGCATGGGTAAATTGTTTATAATAATGATAGTTCTAAAAGTAGAAAACATAGTTAAAATAATTTGCGTGTGGGTGCAATTCGGTAAGCCTGCAGTACACAGTACACACTTCTTATTTGGTGATTCGTCGTTGTGATTTTAAGAGACAAGATTGGACGTAAAAAACACAGATATAATACAGTCTTGTTAAGAAAGATTTATTTGTGAATTATGTGATAAATCGAATTAAAAAGACAATTAATCAGGCGTTCATTATGCGTAAAATGGTTTGAAGACGATAAAAATTAAACAAAAGCAAAATCTATACATATAAATAAAACTTTAGTGTCTGTCTATATTATCGAATTAACCCCTCATGTGCCTTTTATGTTTTTTTCTTGGGCGCATACCGGTAGGCGCTAATGTAAACAATGATGTCCTTTTAATTTTGTATGTCAGCTATATATAAAACTTATATGCATCGATTCGTTATGAATTAAGAGAGTTAATTCGGCTTTATAATTAAATTCTATTTTTATAAAATTACTTTAATTGCTGGTTTGTACATAAAGTGTAAGGATTATGAAATTAAGACATTATATAAAAAGGTATTTATTTTATTTGCATAACAATACAACATTATATAAACCCCCCCCCCTCAATACATTTTTTTCACACAACAGACTTTTTAATATCTACCTCCTTTTACGCGACAAAACGAAAACAGGTTAAAACAAACTAGAATGTTCAATTCGAAAACGTTACATTACGGCTTTGTCTTTAATCTATGTGGCTCAAAGATTAAAACAATGTTTTATCTTTGAAAAACATAGATTAAAGACAAAGCGTGTTTAATTGCCAAATGGGCACACGGAGTCGGCTGACACACGGGCATGCATAAGCTGTCAACCATTGCGGGCGTCATAACACACGAGGGGTCTGCCTTATATTTTAGCTTGAAGGGTTGTTCAAATACAAAAAATGATTTTAAGATAAGCGATTGTAATGTTAAATGGGCAAGATGTACAGCAATCACCAATTTGCCTATCATCATATAAAGATTGGAGATTAGGGTTGTATTTTAAAGAAAAAATCGACTGTGGAGTGTTTATGGGTTGATGGTGACTGTTGATGAGTATTTAGAAGTCTATAATGATAAAATAAAAAAATCAAATACCTGGAGTGCAAATACCGCCGACAGAGTTCCTCCTAGGGGACCCAACGTAAGCCAAGCCTAGGATACCACCCTCAAACTTGAGGTCAGTGAACAAATGCGCCAGACAGAAATCCTTGTGAGAATATTCCCGACTAAATACCTGGTAAGATCAAATGTAATAAATTATTAATAGAAACCGGTAAATAAACAGTAATTGATGATAGTATGAACGCCTGCACGAATTAGGCAATTCATTAAGTCATTGTATGACAAGTGCACTACTCTATGGTCCATAAATGTATTTTAGGAACGTGTAGCGCTATGAAATGAAAACACTGTACCAAATAATTAGGCCGAAGCCGATTAATGGGCTACCACTACAATCTTTGGCCGTAGCTGTAGCCGAAAGCTTAAAACCCCTACGAAATTCAGTTCAAGATTGGCTAAAATTAATAATAAAAATAATTTTAAAACTTTTAAATCAAATATTTATATTGACTGTATAATAAGGTATAAGGTAATCTTAATAAATATATATAGAATAGATCAAGTTCTAGATATGATAAAAATTGCTTCATCACGTCCATCGCGCTCTCGCTCATTCGTAACAGTTCGTTGAATTTCGGCGCTTGCTAGAAACGGTGGCCGAAGCCAACGTTGGACACTTACATGCAGTAAATATAAAGAAATACCATACATACGTCTAAGATGACCTCGTTACCGATAAAAAGGGTCTCCGGTTTTCGTCCTACACCTTAAAAATGCATTATGCTTCTACTTCCAGCTAGTATATTGTGACAATGTGTTCCTCTTCGGTTGAGCTTCCATTCGTACTGCAGCCGTAATACACTGCGGCATGGCTCTACCACGTATAAACCACTGTCTTTAAACATGTAATTCAACAGTGCTTTATAGAATGGAAATAAGACCGAAATTAAGGCGCAGGTTTGGCCTCACATGGAATACTGTTTTCCCATTTCTGGGCTGGGGCTTCCCAGTGCCAGCTTCTTCCACTTGACCGCATCCAGCGCAGAGCGGCTCGAATCGTCAACGATCGAGTCCTTTCCGATCGGCTCGATTCACTAGCTCTGCGAAGAGATGTTGCATCCCTTTGCATTTTTTTTTGCATTTACCACAGGGATTGCTCTGAGGAATTGTTTGGATTAATACCAGCCGCCAAATTTCGAGAACGCACATGGCGGAAAAACTCTCGGGAGTTTTGCCGCGATGTGTATGTTACCGCCAAGCATCCATATGGTGTGGATGGTAGCGATACCGTCCACACCATCTGCATGTTTGGCGGTCCACCACTGTACGTTTTACTAGGAGTTTTCTTCCGCGTACGACCTCCCTGTGGAATAGTTTACCACCGGCGATTTTTCCGGACCGATACGACTTAGGGACCTTCTAGAAAAGAGCTTACTCCTTTTTAAAAGGACGGAAACGCAACGCAATTTCCCAGGTGTTGCAGTTGTTCATGGCGGCGGTAGTCACTATCAGGTGAGCCGTATGCTCGTTTGCCCCCTCTCCTAAAAAAATAAATAAATTATATGCTTACCTCAAGGAGATTACGGACGTCCCACTTTTCGCGGACCATATTGTAGTGAGCTTCGCCGCCTCTCACCCGCGTCGGTTCCGAATGTACTAATATCTTCTTTATAACGAAACCCATTCCTTTGAAACCGTCCATATCCTGTAGAAATAAATGTAGAAAAAAACATCTATTCCATCAATTGCGGTTTGGTGGCGGCATAAGACAATCCACAACCCAGGTCCGTCCCGTGAGTGTTGTATAAAAAAACTAATGGAAATACACAATAACATCGACTTTTGACTTTTGTAATGCGTACAGCAAAGGAGTGGAATAATTCACCGGCGTCTATCTTTCCGTCCGAATACAATCTTGGCGTCTTCAAGGCAAGAATGAATAGGCTTTGTTACGCTAAGACAGTGCGATTTACCATCTAGGGCTGCATCACCACTTACCACCAGGTGTGGTAACTTTTTTTTTACTTATAGTAAAAAAAAAACATCTTAGGGCTTCCGACATATGGCGGTATAACCATCTACGCCAGGTATTTACGTCAGGCGTAAAATACTCAGACCAGTGTAAGAGAACAGCTTCGATTGTCAATCCGCCCGCCAAGCGTGGTAATTGCCCGCAAAGCGTGCTGAACGTAGGTCTCCCTCGTAGAGGGGATTTTGTCAATGTGGACATAGTGCCAAGTGGGTTGGCAGCCACAGTTTTTTAGGGTTCCGTACCTTAAAAGGAAAAAACGGTGTGTTTTATAACTGACCTGATCAGTAGGCAGGAGTGGCAATGCGCCGACTATAGATCGCTGTTTCATATCTGGCTTGAAGGACCATATCAAATATGTTTTGTTCCTAATACAATAACGGATCGTAAAATTGTACAAGTAACGTGCATATTGAAAGGAACATGTAAAAATTACAAATAGTGTAATTAAATGCGCGCGCGTAGTGTCGTCGCCAAAGCGGGCCATGTTATACCACCCGCTAACCGGCTCCTCTGCTCCCTTCACCTAAGTGTCGTTCAGTGATCTGAACAAACATTAAAGTAAGAAGGAACTCTTCACTATTATTTCTACACGAACCTGTCGATCTTGCCACACTGTATCGTTGTAGATTTTATGTACGCGGTCGATGAGGCTTATCTGAAATTGAAATCAATTAAATATTTTTAGTAATAAATAAATCTTATATTGTTAAATTTTGAAAAATAGTTTGCACAAAAATGGTTTCTAAAAGTTTTAAACAAACCATTTCTGATATTTAACTTGCAGTAGTTTTAAGCCAGTTAAAATAAAGGATTGCAAAAGTGATTTCTTTTATGCAGAATAAGGGTGACAAACGAGCACACAGTCCACCTGATGGTAAGTGGATGCTGTGGCCAATAGACAACTACATCACACAAATTAAGACTAAGGTAAAAAAGGTCTTTGGTTCTCTACACTCACCATACGAAACACAGCAGCATTGAGCTGTTATTTTACACTGCTATTCTGTGAGAGCGTGGTCAAATCACGGTCGAGCCGACCCATACGGGTTACAAGTATAATATAGCTGCAGCATGGCTCTTCCACGTAAATATCATTTTTCATAAATATTGTCAGATTAAACAAATTTATAAAATAATTAAGCTACGTACGAGATAGCTAATAGTAGTCTTTGTATTACTGGCTCCCATTTCTTGAAAGAATCTATAGTCGGCGACGAGCAACAGCGGACATCTTGTTTTCGTCGGTGTGTATTCATAGTCGCTTTGCCTCTTAACTCTTTTGTAGTTGGGGGCACCTTTGTCTTCGTGCTGAGGAGCTACCGCCTCATGCTGGGCCCCTTGAGAATTTTCTAGATATTTGTCCTTTTCAGATTGTTCCTGCTTAGTTTCTAAAATGTCGTTGTAGCTGTCATCATCGTCTTCCTCCAATTCTGCAATTTCATTTTACTAACATGTATTATTTTAACAAAAAATTGTTAATCCCTTAAAGGTGAATTGTATTTGTAATGTACATTAATGTTTTTTCTGTTTATATAATAATACATATATCCATAATTATTCAGCATCACCATAAGCCAGTGTCATTTCAAAATGGTGTTATTATCTTTTCTATCGTCTTTTGTGTAATGTAAATTTTGTTTGAAATATAAAAAAATAAAAAAGTAAATGCTAAATGGTCACTATGGCCACAGCCTAAGAAGAACATACAGTCAGTCATCGCGTTTTATGTTGTCGGAAAACAGGACATAAACAATAAATTGCTAGAGTTGTAAGACATTTGTATTTATTTGTTTTATCGCATATGTAGTGTGAATCATTTTAATTTATTTGCATGACAGGACAACCTAGCAGACAGTTAGTCGTTAGACGCGGGCGGAGCACTACCGAGTGACAAACGGTCGCTCGGGAAGGTCCGACCGCGTCTCTGCCCACACCGCAACGCACGATTGCCCCATCTAAACGTCTTCGATAACCAACTGTTAGTAGTACAGTAGAACGCCGATTATCCGAATTAATTGGGACCGGGATCGATTCGGATAATCGGACACAGACTGGTAATAAAGAAAAACGAACTGTCACACACAGAATAAACTTTATTAAGTTTAACAAACACAGTTCCACTATACGTAAGTAGTGCACTAGAGAGAGAGAGAGAGCATAAGCGCCGCGGCCCGTTATATACGAAACCCCGTGCGCTCACTTGTACGAAACAAAAATTACATTACCTACTTACAGTACTTGGTTTTAATTTTTTATATTACACTTGGGACCGATTCGGATAATTGGCGATTCGGTTAATCGGCGTTCGGATAATCGGCGTTTGGATAATCGGAGTTCTACTGTATTTAGACTATGCTATGGGCTAACAACTACAGCAACTTAAATTACTGGTGCCAGACCTTCTTTTTTAGTTAGGAGTCCGTCTGGGTACCCCTACTTATTTCTTCTGCCAAACCTTACTTATTTCTGAAAGGTTTAGAGAGCCAATATAATTACAGACTGAGGCATTCCATCTTAGTCCAAGAGGTGGTAACACATCTAAAGCCTTCTATGTTTGTAGTTCGCTGCTGGTGTCCATGGACTGTAGTAGCCACTTACCATCAGGTGGACTATAGATTTGTATGTCACTACTGTTTTATAAAAAACGTTATTAATATAATAAAGATAAATGAAAAATATAGGAAATATTTCCAGATATACCAAAACCGATTTTAGATCTCTGGTCTTCCATGCCGCTCACCCCATATGTACCAAGAAAATATATCAATACCCAGTGTTCAACAGGAAACAGCAGAAGAAATAATAATGAACAGTTAAGAATCAGTTTGCATTCTTGTCTTAGAAATAGACTAAATCCTAAATCGTGAATCCACAACTATGAAGTTAAATGTGTGATTTCTATTCCTCACCTTGGCCCTCTTTTACATAGCCGCAAACTCGTGGCCTGCTCCCATTAGCATGCGCCCAACTGAAGCGTATATCTGAGGACCGATATGTTATCATTGTACCGTCCTGCTGATCTGGTAAATGACGCCAAGAAGGCTGCGAACAAAGAAGTAAAATGAGTATGCACATTAAAAGGACTTTTTATTTAAAAAAAAACATCCATTACTAGGATTAACTTTCCTAGTTTTGTGGAGTTGTTATACATACATAAGTTGCAGACTGCTGATTGTTTAATCCCGGTTTTCAATCCGAGGTCAGGCAAATAACGAGTTTTCTGACAAGAATGGGTTCATGGGAAAAAATCCAGACCTTAACAATTATTTTATGACCATACAAACAATCATTCCGTGCGGTATTTAAATCCGTCGCCATTCAGTGCAAAAACCAAATGCCAATAGCCATTGCAACACCAAGCCACATATGTCTGTGTTTTCATGGTAGAAACACGCTGCAGCACTAATTGGTCAGTTCTGTGGAGGTAGAACATATTCTCACAAAACATCAGCAGTAGAATAATGTTACTGTGTGTCGTATGCACAGCGTAGAGAAATGGAGTAAGGTAACAAGGCATTCCATATTAGTGCTCAGGTTGGACAATGCATCTGCATTTTGATTCATAACCGATGAAAGATGTAGAAGTCTATAAGGCCAGAGCATCCTTACAATTGACTTGTTTTCACCTTTATTCTATAGAAAAGATCACTAATTATTTAGAATAATAAGATATCATTATAAAGAAATCACAAATATGCCATTTATAACTCAAGTCAGTTTCAAGAGTTCTTTGGCACCTTGTCAAGTGTAGCAATTACGACAATTTTATCCTATAAGGTGTTTCTTCACTGTTTGACTTGACTAAAGGCGTAACAAAAATAATTTCAAATTGAGAGCTGGTTATGAAATAAAAAAATATGTTTAAAGTTTACCTCAATATGGTATGTCTCATCTGGTGTATGTATTATTCCTGTAATCACTCCGTCATCTATGTGCAACTTGACATCAGACATTGTTTCACCAAACACTCTACCAGTGTAAAAGTTATCTCGATCTGAAACAAAAATTGATCGATTAATAGCAACACCTACTACCCAGAGGGTATACTAATACTATGTTTTAGATATAATTTAAAATATTTTATTTACTTAAGTGTTTTATTATTTTTCTGTATTTTGTTTGTCTGAAACTTAATTTGAAAGCAATATATATATATATATATATAATTATATATATATATATATATATATATATATATATATATATATATATATATATATTTTTTTTTTTGTATATTATATATATATATAATATACAAAAACTAAATCTTGAAATTGAAAAGAAGAATTAGGATATGCCTACATTTAAGACTTTCAAATTATAATAAAGAGTACAATATAAAGATTATTATTTAGATCTGCTGAAGTATTCAACATTAAATAATATTGGACCTATAGTAACATAGGATTAGGGTCATAACATGGACTAGAGTAAAGGGGAACTTTCTTCCTGCTAAGTGAAGCCAGAAGAGAATTCAATTCAGAAATGAAGGGAAGGCTGCACCAACCACTGTACTGATTTTTCTTATTATATTTTTCTCAATTATGAATTAAGACTCATGCTACAAATCACATAGGAAACCAAAAATTAATACAAGGTAAATTTTACATCCATCTTTACATCAAAAGAGCACATATACACCACACTAGTAGTATATTAAAGTTGACACAAGAATACTTTATCAAATTCATATTAGAATTGCAAGGTGGTGGTAGTATAAGATAAAACATTGCCACATCTTTATTTTATTATAGAATTTTTATTTTATTTATATTATAGATTTTTTAATTTTGCAATTACAATAACATACATCAATATTTTTCATTAAAAATTAACAACCAACCAATCTATAGATAACATGTGCATTGTTATAAATTTATATTTTAAAACTTACCAACATGAACAATAGTCTTTTTCCCATCACCATCAACAGTATATGCTTTAAAATTTGAATGCAATACTGAATTATGCGGGTGCAATATTAATCTGAAATCTTTCCCTAGTGTTCTGAAGTGCAACTCCTTGATAACGTTGAAGGGATGGCTTGAAAGCTTAGTTCCTCTCTTTACTACATGATGGTTAAGACTCGATGAGTGCAATGTTTCAAAGTACTTTAAATTGTGGTATATTGAACCTGCAATGTCAAAGTACATAACATATTTTACATATATTTATTTCTTTATTTGCATCTATATTTATTTATCAATGTATTGGTGGTGTAAGAATATCCACTATATCATTCCGTGGGTGTTATAATAGGCAACAGAGGGAAGCTAAGCCAGGAGATGGGCAGCAGCAACTTCCTGATACCACCTGAATAAAAATAAAAAACTGCAGATGCCAACTCATGTGCCAAGCATAGCAACTATTTGCAAATATCTTCCTATTAGACAATCTATGGGGAGGCCGAGGTTCAGCAGTAAACTTTAATACAGACAATAATATATATTTTATTACTAACAATACAAACTTTGTCACTTATTTTTTTATTGTAGAAAGCTCTTTTCAAATCATAGTTATGTATACTTACATTTGGCATAATATAAATAATTAGTAAATAATATAAGAGAAATTATTAGTAAGTTAGTTGTACGCTTCATAATTATGGTTTTCTTTTTATTAAAACTAAAAGTAATGCAGTTGTAAACTAATTACAAATACTAGAGTGAAATATTTAGGCAAGATATTTGTATGATTTATAAAAGATAATCTTACAGTTCTATTAAACATATCGTTAAAAATAACAAATGGTTCAGTAAAATATAAAATTAAAGGTATAAATTTGAGCTTTTTTAAATAATACAATAAATCGATCACTTTTCACAATACATTCAAAAACATATGACATATGATCACAGAACACAAAACTTTATTTTTTTATTTTTAAACTGGCTTTACGGCTCTGGGTTCTAGCCTTACTGAGCCTGAAAACACAACACAATTAGCAACAGTATATATAAAAGTACTCTGTGATTAGCAATTACCACAGAATACATATCAGGGTGACCATGTTTAAAATACAGATCCTGCCTCACTTTGGTTAAAAATCTGCCAAATCCTGCCAAAGTCTGTAGTGAATAATGCCTAAATACTGCCAACTATATTTACCATTGTATTAAACTAAGAAAAGTAAAAATACACATATAAATGCTATTTTTTCAATTAAAATTAAACATACCTTTCGTTGGTTTGAATGCAATGCAATCGCCATGCTCACCAATGCCTTGTTTAACGTACAAGATAGACAGTATTTAAGATTGTTTATAAATATGTTTTGTGTTTTTGTCTTAATTAAAATTATTTGAGAGAATATTCTTTCGCATGTTGAATCCACTCATATTTTTTTGATGTTTACTAGTAGCGGCATGCTCCTTTAAAGCGGACAGTCAGGGTGCCAATTTGCAGTTACACAGTCAGGATCATCTTTAGCTTTGGAGATCCATGATGAAAGTAAAAGATCTTGCTCCCACTTCGCTCTATACGCCCTTTCATATTTTCGCTTTATCATCGCCACCTATAACTACTATCGTCCACGAAATATTACTAACAAGATGTTATCACCATAAAATCTAATGCGATACCAATCTACTTATGACTGATTGAAATATTAACTAACTCGTGTTAATTCTTTTTAAGATTATCAACTTTATACACATTTTTTTAAAAGTTGTTTATTGAATGTGATACAAACATAATACGATAAATCGAGAAATACAGGGAAATCCCCAACATGCTGGCGAAGTATCTAGGGTAGCCATTTTCGTCATTTTAAGTTGCCATAATAAATCTATTTTTAATACACCAATACTGCCAGGTTTTATAAAACGACAACCGATCGTGCCAGAGGCTAAAATAAGGGGCCAATCCTGCCAAAATGGCAGGAACCTGCCACATATGGTCACACTGATACATATCATATAAAAAAGTTTTCTGTGATACATATACATATATGTATTCTGTGACATACTCTCTTCGATTTTTTTGTTGTTATATTTTTTGTTGACAATATTATCTCAAGGTACTACCTTATGCAGATAAATAATCTGAGATTTATATCGCTATTGAAACACTTACATCGTTTTTATTAATAGTTCACGTGTGCAGATATGTTAAGCAAAAAATTGAACCACTTTTACGTATCAAAATCCAATTAAACCAATATTAAAACGATACGACAGGTTCAATCTGCGAGCGGTCAAGTTCCCACCTAAACTCCTCAAAAAACTTAAAATGAACATGACGGAAAATCCTTGATCCATTGTTTTTTGTTGTTATTGTCAAGAGTTGCTAATGAGGACTAATAATCTTCCGCTCACCAGATGTCGCTAGTTGGTACTGAGGTAAAGTTTTTTGTCACTAAAGCCATTTAATTGAGAAAAAAGTTGTTAATAAATGTTTATTACTTTCTACAGTATTATATTTCTACTCAAAACAATGCCTCAGTAGTTTGCTCTTTAATTTTTTGTGAATTTTTAACTCTTTTTTTAATTATTTTACTTTTAGGAATATCCATAGATTGGTTTATTCGTCTCTAATCTAATTATTATAAAATATAACTATTATTTTAGAAAGAAACATCAATCTTTATACTTTTCTAACAAATTAACTTATCCCGCTGTACAATCTGTCAAATATTTCATCGCATCTAAAGTCGCGCTATCCTGGTAGCACCCAGAAAAAGTCGTGGATGCTCTCATTAAGGTAAAAGGTATTAGACCATACAGCCATACCGGATGAGAATTTTCTTCACTAATTCGTTAATAATACCTGATACATCACATGGCGAAGTATTTGAGAGATCTTGAAAACAGCTTAAATCATTGGAAAATTAATGACGATAGTATCTCAAGCAGCCCAAGTAGATAAAATTAATCCTTGAAATTTATATCACAACATTTGATATAAATTTCATGAAACATTTTAGCGGGAACTTGACTGCCAGTGGATTGCGGCTCCTGTTTAATAATGGTTTAAAGTGGATTTTAAATTATGATACATTAAGGTGATGTTTTTTTTTTATTTATTTACCAAAATTTACAAAAACATAACATTATTTTATAACTGTAAAGACAGTTTGTTGGCGAATAAATGCACTCTTATATCCTATTACATAATTAAATAGGTACACCACCCACATAATATTGCAAACAAATAGAAATCCTAAATATAAACACTGTTATATATTCTTATAATTCTAATATAACATCCCACCCACATAACGTTGCAACCAAATAGAGATTATAAATATTATAATATCAATTTTACAAATTGTCATATACATACGCTATCATGTATCTTCTATTTTATCCAAAAAATAATTCTTAAGCTTCTTTTTATTTGTAAATTTACACTCAGTTCTACCTTGCCTTACCCAGTCTATTTCATTAAAAAGCTTTGGTATTAAATATTTTGTACATCTTTTACCATAGTAGTTTTTAACACTAGGCTGAACTAATTTCCCTTCTCTAACTTTCCTGGTTTTATATTTATTATCCACTTTTTCTTTATAATGATTTTTATTAATGTTTTCCAAAACTAATAACATGTTAACTTTGTGTTCTACTGGTAAAATTTTACAAATAGAGAATAACTTGTTATAATCTTTCTTACAATTTCCTTTAACTTTTTCGTTAACAAGATATTTTAGAAATCTTGTCACCAAGTTCATAACCTATGAGGCAATCCACCAAAGCATAGTATAGAAGGTACATAGATTTTTTTGTTCAAAATGTAATTTAAAAATAGAATTTACCTAATATCGCTGACAGCCTTGAACAAACATCAGATATTTGATGTTTACAATTAAAGTTTTGATCAATTACCAGTCCTAAATACTTAAACTTATCGACAAATTCAATTCCTTTACATTTACAATTCATTTTATTACTATGTAAGCACTCAAAACAGTGGCCCACAACAGCCATCTCATTTAATGTGATGTTTTTCGCTGCCGCATTATATGGAGAGTGTATAAGCATGCATTTTGTTTTATTAAAATTAAGGATTATGCCATTATCATGGGCCCACTTTGTTATATTCTCAAAGTCACTCTGTATATTATTTTGCAATTCTTTTGTTTCTTTAGAGGCAAATAGCAAGCATATGTCATCCGCATACATATACTCTTCACTATTTTTTATTACATTAGTTACACTATTTACATGCATAATATAACCGATAGGACCGTTAACAGAACCAGTCGGTACACTCAAGCTAATACGGGCCTCCTCTCCTACAACACCATCCACTATAGTACGGAGCGTCCTATTGGATAGATAGCTACGAAAAAAGTTATTTGTAGGGCCCCTGATTCCACACTCCTCCATCGCACGCAATAAGTTGTGCTACGATTTTTTCAAAATCCATGTTGTGCCTCTGATATTATACTATGCTGTTCCAAAAAGTCGGTTATTTGGCCAACAACCACCTTTTCAACAATCTTATTGACCGATGATAAAATGGCAATTCGCCGGTAATTACTGAAATCTAAATGACTTCCGTGTTTAAATATGGGACGAACAAATGATTTCTTTAATAAATCAAGATAAACACCTTTTGACAAGCACATATTAACGAAATGGGCTAGTATTGGACTTATTTTTTTCTTTACTAACTTTAAATCTTTCACCCTAATCCCGTCCAAACCTGGTACTTTTTTATGGTGCAATTTATGAATTACTTTTACTATATCGTATGATTTCACTCTCTTAAACCTAAAAGACACTTCGCTCTGTGTAACGTACATGTTTCTATCTAAAAAATTTAAATTACAAGTATACTTAATGTCTATTATTTCATTAGTAAATGTATTAGAAAATTTTGTGCAAATGTTATATAAACTATAATTTCTACCGAAGTACTTTTTAATTACTAAATCCAAATCTGCCTTAGTTCTCCCTAACCATGTATTAATATTTGACCATATTTTTCTGCTATCACCATTACAATCCTTTATTTATTTTTGTCTATACTTGTTTCTGGCGTCATTTATAATTTTATTTACTCTATTTCTAAATCTCGTATATTCTAAACGCTTATTCATATTTTTTGGTGACGCTTTCCACGCTCTAAATAAAGAATCCCTTTTTAATATTAAATTATTCAACCTACCTACTTTACTACTAACTGCAATATTGACCTTACTTTACTACTTACTGCAATATAACAAATTTGCATGTGATTTTGTGTATTAAATGTCTACGCATGTGAACTAGTAGTAACCATGTAACAAGTGCTTCGATAGACATTTAAATCAATTATTTGGTTATCCGTTTGAACGTCTTGAGATATTATCATCATTAACTTTTCGCTGACTTAAATTTTCATTAAAATCTTCCGAAAAATTTTGCAATGTGACGTGTGAACAAAATACACATAAGAGTAGGCTGTATGGTCTAAGACCTTTGCTTGTCTTTAATCGTGAAACCTAACAACAACAACGGGCACTTTTCCATTCGCCGGTGCCGGCACCGACCCTCTTGCCGGGGAAGCAAATATGTATTAAATGTATGGGCTCTTTTCCATTCGCCGGCACGGCACTGGCGCTGGTAACGGCCCGGCTGCCGTGGAAGCAAAATGTCTAAAGTATATGGCATATGTT